TTGGGTCTGTAACCATGAGGAGGGGATACTATATAATGTTGTTGGGTCTGTAACCACGAGGAGGGGATACTATATAATGTTGTTGGTCTGTAACCAGAGGAGGGGATACTATATAATGTTGTTGGGTCTGTAACCACGAGGAGGGGATACTATATAATGTTGTTGGGTCTGTAGGTCTGTAACCATGATGGAGGGGATACTATATATTTGTTGGGTCTGTAACCACGAGGAGGGGATACTTATAATGTTTTTGCCAGTGAAGTTTCAGTATAGGCCGCATGTAAATTCCAGCTGATTTTTGTGAGGGTTGTTTTGTTTGCGCAATGCCGCTTTCTGTCGTCGTAATAATTATTATAAAAGTGGATCCTCATGTTTCTTTCCTTCCTTTTTAGACCACCTAGGCCTAATCAATGCTTCAAATGTTAATGCTAACCGTCGCTCTCGGCTCTCTGTGGTGACGTAAAGAAGAGTAAAGTTAAGTCCTCAACATCTTGCTGAATTTATCTGAACTAACATCTATCTGAATTTCTGCTGGTGTCCATTTTGAAAGTGGTGAACGAATAGGCCTACCTCGTCGCAGCTCGTTTGCACTTAAATGTGATAATGTTTCCGTATGGTTCAAAGGTCAAAACTCATGTCGGCATTCGGTATTATTGAAGGAGAATGCGTTTTTTTATCGAGTTACACAAATCCACAAGGAGTCAGTAGAAACCATATTTATTTAAGCAAGTCAGCCATAATAGCTATGGTTTTTAAAAAGGCAGTAAATGAGGCTGAAGGAACTGTTTCGCTGTCAGATGAGGCTCCGCTGATCGGCAGGTGTAGCGGTGGTAAAATGAGGCTGAAGGAACTGTTTCGCTGCCAGATGAGGCTCCGCTGATCCGCAGGCGTAGCGGTGGTAAGGATTCACTCCATGGTGCTGAAAGGAAAGCTCTGCTGTTGGGACAGCTTTATGGAGGCCCTAACAGTTTGCGGGCACCGTTTGTCACCGTTATAGTGCAATTCATGTATTGTTTAGTGTGGTGTTGTGTTGTGGCTTTTCTGGCATGTATCTTAACAAATTGGTTGAGTTTGCCCCACCAAGATTTACATGCTAAAATCCCCACTGGTAATGATGCAACCGCCACCAACACAAATCCTTTACTTGCCTTTTTCTCTTGGGCTTTCGGAAACAGCGGTACACGAAGCCTAATCATTACAACCATTATTCTCTGGCAGATCTTTTTTTTCTAGGAGCACTAGTGCGCCCAAATTAAAAATTCCAAGTCGCACAGCAAAAATATTTAGGAGCAATATGCGACCAAAAATGGGCACACATTAGAGCCCTGACTGCATCCCATCTCATGTCATGTGCAAGCTAGGACAAAACCTTGTTACTCATAGCACCTCTAGCGGGAATGCTCTCTGCCCTCAGTGGCATTTGAATTTCTATTTGAATTCTAAAACATGTCTATGACGCTGATGAGAACAACATTACTGATATACCGGTTCACTATACTTACGACATGTTGTTATTATATTGTTTATTGCGACAAAGGTTTGATGCGTCCTTATCTCCCATAGGGAATGAAGAAGAGTAACGAAGCCTAATCATTGTGATCATATGAACATTGAATTGCCTCTTTACCTTGGTGGCTATCCGGCCCATTCGACCACCCTGATGTTGAAGTGAGAGGTAGCAGCCTTGATCATCTCCAGACGCAGCAGTTAGAGATGACGAACACCGCTCCCTCAGGGAGATGCACGTCAGACACCCGCAGAGGCTGGAACTCAATTAGCTTGGCCTGAGACAACAACAACAACAACAACAACAACAACAGGCCGATCCAACACTAATAACAAGCACTTACAAATCACAGACACAACCGTTACAACAGATAACACTAACAAATCACAGACACAACCGTTACAACAGATAACACTAACAAATCACAGACACAACCGTTACAACAGATAACACTAACAAATCACAGACACAACCGTTACAACAGATAACACTAACAAATCACAGACACAACCGTTACAACAGATAACACTAACAAATCACAGACACAACCGTTACAACAAATAACACTAACAAATCACAGACACAACCGTTACAACAGATAACACTAACAAATCACAGACACAACCGTTACAACAGATAACACTAACAAATCACAGACACAACCGTTACAACAGATAACACTAACAAATCACAGACACAACCGTTACAACAGATAACACTAACAAATCATAACTTACAACCGATAACACTAACAAATCATAACTTACAATAGATAACACTTACAAACCATAATTGTCCCCCCCCCCCAAAGAATGTATATGTATATATCTTTTTTAATAACTTATCATGCAGCATGCAGGTATAACACTTTATTAGTTTTCATAAGCATGTAATAAGCTTTACAATGTCTTATAATAAGACTTCTTAACATTTTGTTTTATTTATTATAACACTTCAACAAACTATCTATTAACCCTAACCCTTATCCTAACCCTAAACTTAACTCTAGCCCTTATTGCAACCCTAACCGTAGCAAGCGGTTGATTATCAACAGATAGTCACACTATCTACAGATTGACTATTTGGACTATCCAACTAAAGTGTGACTGTGACTTTAAACGTTCAAATCAAATCAAATTGTATTTGTCACATACACGTGTTTAGCAGATGTTATTGCGGGTGTAGCGAAATGCCAGGACTGAAATGGACTGGTCCATGCCCCCCCGCCCCTCTGTGCCAATATTGCACTCACACGTGGCCCAGATCTCTGCCGACAGAACAGAGGTGGACGACAGGCAGAACATTTTAGAGGAAACTGTCAGTGTCAATACATCGACGTCGGGTATTGTCCTGAACATTTGACCGGCAATTCATCATCTCAATCTTGTACATCACAGAATCAGCTTGCAAGATTATAGAGCGCTGGTTTTGACACATTGCAGTTCTTGAGACATTCACACGTATTCATGAATAACATGTACAAGTACTGCATGTGTCTGTTACCTTGTTGAGGGACTTGTGGTTAGCCTCCACGGTGAGGAGCCCTGCACAGCAGACCAGACAGCAGACCAGACCACAGCAGACCAGGGCACTGGAGCTGGACAGGCCCGAGCTAGCCGGGATGGTCCCGTCCACAACACACTTCATCCCAGACAGACCAGGGCACTGGAGCTGGACAGGCCGGGGCTACCAGACAGCAGACCAGACCACAGCAGACCAGGGCACTGGAGCTGGACAGGCCCGGGCTAGCCGGGATGGTCCCGTCCACAACAGACCAGGGCACTGGAGCTGGACAGGCCGGGGCTAGCCAGGATGGTTCCGTCCACAACACACTTCACCCCAGACAGACCAGGGCACTGGAGCTGGACAGGCCGGAGCTAGCCGGGATGGTCCCGTCCACAACACACTTCATCCCAGACAGACCAGGGCACTGGAGCTGGACAGGCCGGGGCTACCAGACAGCAGACCAGACCACAGCAGACCAGGGCACTGGAGCTGGACAGGCCGGGGCTACCAGACAGCAGACCAGACCACAGCAGACCAGGGCACTGGAGCTGGACAGGCCGGGGCTACCAGACAGCAGACCAGACCACAGCAGACCAGGGCACTGGAGCTGGACAGGCCGGGGCTACCAGACAGCAGACCAGACCACAGCAGACCAGGGCACTGGAGCTGGACAGGCCCGAGCTAGCCGGGATGGTCCCGTCCACAACACACTTCACCCCAGACAGAGGAACCTTCCCTAGTTGCTCCTGGTGAGGATGATGATGTAACACAATATTGTACAATGGTTCATGTTAATGTTCTGAATGGTTAATATCAACATATAGGACTGACAGACCGACAGACAGATGTACAACGTTGATAAGAAGAAGAAGAAGAAGAAGAAGAAGAAGAAGAAGAAGAAGAAGAAGAAGAAGAAGAAGAAGAAGAAGAAATTAAATACAACAGGGTCTCTCTGATCCTCAGGCTCTACACGACTCACCTGAATCCCATTCAAATGCCTTTCTTGCCAGCTCTAAACCCAACAATGCATTAATCAATCATCACGTGTATTTATACTGTATTTATGGAGTCCTGCTCATAGTAGCATATATACATATGAACTTTGTTTACATACCTATTAGATTGACTCTTCCAGGAGCTCGTGCATAAAAGAGAGGAGATTCGCCATACTTTTTCTCAATGACATCTTTAAGATTTTGCAACCTAGGAATAAAATGCAAATGAATGCACAATTCAGGGAGTGAGTTGAGTACATTTTAAATTTGAGTCATTTAGCAGACGCTCTTATCCAGAGTGACTTACAGTTAGTGAGTGCATACATGTTTCATACTGGCCCCCCGTGGGAAACGAACCCACAACCCTGGCGTTGCAAGCGCCATGCTCTACCAACTGAGCTACAGGGTAGTACAAAACTGTTTTCCTTTACTGCTGCTTACTATACATCTATAATACATGCATTGATAGTTTTAGCAACTGTAATGACCAATAAAGTATTTAGAAAATTATCAAGATCATAACTCACCTTTCATTTGCCATTTTCCAAACCAAATACCAGTTCTAACCGGTTGTGTTTAGACTATTGTGAAATCACCTAATCTAGCCAGAGTAGCCTACTATACTGAAGATAAAAGATTGAAACGCACCAATACTAACTGCTGACTTTTATACGCGGCTCCTGGATAATATTGAACTGCTGATATACGACCAGCTCTTCCTACCGAAACTACCACCCCAAACACTTTCAGTTAAACAAAGTAACTATTTCTAAGAACAGCTGTTGACAGATTCATTGTAACGAAATGTAACAATACGGCTGAGTAGAAAAAAGGGTCCAGTTCATAGGAATCACGGTTCACGCTGCGCAGAAAGGCATTGGTGGCGGATAACGTAGGAGCTTGAACAAACTGCGACTGTGTACTCTGGCGATGCACCTACACTTGTACCACTAGCAAGGTTGCTGTCGAGCTAGCTAGCGTCGCAGTCAAAGATGTCTGACATGGAAGATGACTTCATGTGCGATGATGAAGAGGATTATGATCTGGTAAACTCCTCAGAAGTAAATATATATGGATATTGTAGCTGATTACCATATACAACGTATTTAGCTAGCTAGCTAGCTAGATAACCAGCGTAAACATTCCATGTTGCACTCCACTCAGCTAACTTTAGCTAGCTACGGTATTACTATCAGCTACTATAGCTGTTGTCGGTGCTCCTATCATTGACAGCTAACTGGCGTAGTTAGCTAGCTAGCTATGTCTGCAATGATTTGTTCACTTACTGTTGCAACTAATGATTGCTATACCGTTTGCGCCGTTATATGATCCAGCTGTTTGCTTTTTAAAAAATCACCAAAGCAAAAACAACACACATCATCATGAGCTAGCTAGCTGGCTAGCTGAATGTCAACACAACAGCGGGGTGTCGATCTTGTAAACTGCAGTGATGATGAATTGTGTGATTTCAGGAATACTCAGAGGACAGCAACTCTGAGCCCAATGTTGATTTGGAGAATCAGTACTACAATTCAAAGGCCCTGAAGGAGGATGACCCCAAAGCAGCTCTCAGCAGCTTCCAGAAAGTGAGTTATCACACACGCGCACACACACACACACACACACACACACACACACACACACACACACACACACACACACACAACACACACACACACACACACACAATGTCCATGACTGTCTGTTTATTAAATGCATCCTTCTGATCCCCAGGTCTTGGAGCTAGAGGGTGAGAAAGGAGAATGGGGGTTCAAAGCTCTCAAACAGATGATTAAGATCAATTCAAACTGGTAAGCATAGACATTAGTCTCACAAGTATAATAATAATAATAATATGCCATTTAGCAGACGCTTTTATCCAAAGCGACTTACAGTCATGCGTGCATAAATATTTTGTGTATGGGTGGTCCCGGGGATCGAACCCACTACCTTCGCATTACAAGCACCGTGCTCTACCAGCTGAGCTACAGAGGACCACATCTCTGCAACGGGTTCGGGAGAGGCGAAGGTTGAGTCATGCGTCCTCCGAAACATGACCCGCCTGCTTTTCTTGATCCCCAGGTCTTGGAGCTAGAGGTGAGAAAGGAGAATGGGGGTTCAAAGCTCTCAAACAGATGATTAAGATCAATTTCAAACTGGTAAGCATTAGACATTAGTCTCACAAGTCTCCGAAATTGTCTCTGAAATATGACGTATACAGTGAGGGGGAAAAAAGTATTTGATCCCCTGCTGATTTTGTACGTTTGCCCACTGATAAAGACATGATCAGTCTATACTTTTAATGGTAGGTTTATTTGAACAGTGAGAGACAGAATAACAACAAGAAAATCCAGAAAACGCATGTCAAAAACTTTATGAATTGATTTGCATTTTAATGAGGGAAATAAATATTTGAGCCCTCTGCAAAACATTACTTAGTACTTGGTGGCAAAACCCTTGTTGGCAATCACAGAGGTCAGATGTTTCTTGTAGTTGGCCACCAGGTTTGCACACATCTCAGGAGGGATTTTGTTCCACTCCTCTTTGCATATCTTCTCCAAGTCATTAAGGTTTCGAGGCTGACGTTTGGCAACTCGAACCTTCAGCTCCCTCCACAGATTTTCTATGGGATTAAGGTCTGGAGACTGGCTAGGCCACTCCAGGACCTTAATGTGCTTCTTCTTGAGCCACTCCTTTGTTGCCTTGGCCGTGTGTTTTGGGTCATGCTGGAATACCCATTCACGACCCATTTTCAATGCCCTGGCTGAGGGAAGGAGGTTCTCACCCAAGATTTGACGGTACATGGCCCTGTCCATCGTCCCTTTGATGCGGTGAAGTTGTCCTGTCCCCTTAGCAGAAAAACACCCCCAAAGCATAATGTTTCCACCTCCATGTTTGACGGTGGGGATGGTGTTCTTGGGGTCATAGGCAGCATTCCTCCTCCAAACACGTCGAGTTGAGTTGATGCCAAAGAGCTCGATTTTGGTCTCATCTGACCACAACACTTTCACCCAGTTTGCCTCTGAATCATTCAGATGTTCATTGGCAAACTTCAGACGGCCCTGTATATGTGCTTTCTTGAGCAGGGGGACCTTGCGGGCGCTGCAGGATTTCAGTCCTTCACGACGTAGTGTGTTACCAATTGTTTTCTTGGTGACTATGGTCCCAGCTGCCTTGAGATCATTGACAAGATCCTCCCGTGTAGTTCTGGGCTGATTCCTCACCGTTCTCATGATCATTGCAACTCCACGAGGTGAGATCTTGCATGGAGCCCCAGGCCGAGGGAGATTGACAGTTCTTTTGTGTTTCTTCCATTTGCGAATAATCGCACCAACTGTTGTCACCTTCTCACCAAGCTGCTTGGCGATGGTCTTGTAGCCCATTCCAGCCTTGTGTAGGTCTACAATCTTGTCCCTGACATCCTTGGAGAGCTCTTTGGTCTTGGGCATGGTGGAGAGTTTGGAATCTGATTGATTTATTGCTTCTGTGGACAGGTGTCTTTTATACAGGTAACAAGCTGAGATTAGGAGCACTCCCTTTAAGAGTGTGATCCTAATCTCAGCTCGTTACCTGTATAAAAGACACCTGGGAGCCAGAAATCTTTCTGATTGAGAGGGGGTCAAATACTTATTTCCCTCATTTAAAATGCAAATCAATTTATAACATTTTTGACATGCGTTTTTTTCTGGATTTTTGTTGTTGTTAGTCTGTCTCTCACTGTTCAAATAAACCTACCATTACAGTTATAGACTGATCATTTCTTTGTCAGTGGGCAAACGTACAAAATCAGCAGGGGATCAAATACTTTTTTCCCCTCACTGTAGGCTACCTACAACTATCGTCTAACAGGCAGACTGTAGGAGTAGCCTAGTTATTCAATATTCCTACATATGAACAGTGTACTTTATGTGACATCTCTGACCAAAGTGTGATCATGTTTTGTAAAGAAATGCCATATAATGGGAGCATCAAATTGAATTTTGAATTACATTTCTTTATTTTTGTTTTCTCCCCAGACAAATTTCCCTGAAATGATGAACAGGTACAAGCAGCTGTTAACATACATCCGGAGTGCAGTAACACGAAACTACTCTGAGAAATCCATCAACTCCATCCTTGATTACATCTCTACGTCTAAGCAGGTATTGTTTGCAACATCAAATTATCAATCAATAAACAATGTTGATTCTGTGATCATCTGAGCTGTACAGTATTTAATTTAGGAAAACAGTCCAAACAAACTCTGAATGTTTGTAGAGAAGGCCTAGACTTTTTATTTTATTTTTTTAGATGGACTTGCTGCAAGAGTTTTATGAAACCACATTGGATGCATTAAAGGATGCCAAAAATGACAGGCTTTGGTTTAAAACCAACACTAAGGTATGATTCATTTTAAATATATATATATATATATATAAAAAAAAATATTTTTCATATAATGTCATTAATTCAATCCACAATATCATCATAATTAACATTTTATACAATGCAAAAACAAATGTGGCAAGTGGCGTATCATTGATATGGAGACACTGACTGTGATACTTGTGTAATTTAGTTTCCTCCTCGGTTTGTCCGGTCTGTTGTTTAGCTTGGGAAGTTGTACCTGGAGAGAGAAGAGTATGGTAAGCTTCAGAAGATCCTGAGGCAGCTGCACCAGTCCTGTCAGGTGAAGAAACACTCCTCATCAATGCAATCAGAGGTTTTCACAGAGGTCTTTACAGAGGTTTTACCACCAAATCTAATTCAGCATTATAACATCATAATGAAAAACATACTTGTGTGTTCTTAGTGACAATAGATCATTTGGAACCGTATCGTGTGATTGGAGCCTGGTCCGGATTCTGTTTGTGCTGTATAGACAACTCCTATAGCTGTTGCCTTGACAACAGGAGAGGACAACACAAACAGATCTGGGGCTGGGCTTGTATGACTGTGGAACCCATTGTGGACATCTAGAATTCCCTGTTCCTCCTCAAGTGTCTGTGTGGAATTATATCTCAAGTATTTGATCTGTCTTGGTGTATAGACGGATGATTAGTGTTTGTCCCATGTTCTGTCTTGGTGTGTAGACGGATGATTAGTGTTTGTCCCATGTTCTGTCTTGGTGTATAGACGGATGATTAGTATTTGTCCCATGTTCTGTCTTGGTGTATAGACGGATGATTAGTATTTGTCCCATGTTCTGTCTTGGTGTATAGACGGATGATTAGTATTTGTCCCATGTTCTGTCTTGGTGTATAGACGGATGATTAGTATTTGTCCCATGTTCTGTCTTGGTGTGTAGACGGATGATTAGTATTTGTCCCATGTTCTGTCTTGGTGTATAGATGGATGATTAGTATTTGTCCCATGTTCTGTCTTGGTGTATAGACGGATGATTAGTATTTGTCCCATGTTCTGTCTTGGTGTATAGACGGATGATTAGTATTTGTCCCATGTTCTGTCTTGGTGTGTAGACGGATGATTAGTATTTGTCCCATGTTCTGTCTTGGTGTATAGATGGATGATTAGTATTTGTCCCATGTTCTGTCTTGGTGTATAGACGGATGATTAGTATTTGTCCCATGTTCTGTCTTGGTGTATAGACGGATGATTAGTATTTGTCCCATGTTCTGTCTTGGTGTATAGACGGATGATTAGTATTTGTCCCATGTTCTGTCTTGGTGTGTAGACGGATGATTAGTATTTGTCCCATGTTCTGTCTTGGTGTATAGACGGATGATTAGTATTTGTCCCATGTTCTGTCTTGGTGTATAGACGGATGATTAGTATTTGTCCCATGTTCTGTCTTGGTGTATAGACGGATGATTTAGTATTTGTCCCATGTTTTTGTCTTGGTGTATAGACGGATGATTAGTGTTTGTCCCATGTTTTTGTCTTGGTGTATAGACGGATGATTAGTGTTTGTCCCATGTTTTTGTCTTGGTGTACTATACAGACGGATGACGGTGAGGATGACCTGAAGAAAGGCACCCAGCTCTTAGAGATCTATGCTCTGGAGATCCAGATGTACACGGCCCAGAAGAACAACAAGAAGCTGAAGACGCTATACGAACAGTCTCTCCACATCAAGTCCGCCATCCCTCACCCACTCATCATGGGAGTCATCAGAGGTAGGCACATCTCTACCTATAACCCAGACACAAATTCATGGGCTCTTTCTCAAGGGTCTTTTTTCCCTTTTTTTTAGTGCATTCTCTCTCCTCGCTTCCTTCTCAAAACCCATTGGAGGAGAAGACCCCCCAAGGTCCCTCCCCTCTGACCTACTCCTCCAATGGGTTTCTAGGAAATTATCCCCTGACTATGTTGTTTGGTCTACTTGTTTGGTCTCTTGTTTGTATTCTCCAGAGTGTGGAGGGAAAATGCATTTGCGAGAAGGGGAGTTTGAGAAGGCTCACACGGACTTCTTCGAGGCGTTTAAGAACTACGATGAATCAGGAAGTCCTCGACGGACCACCTGTCTGAAGTACCTGGTGCTGGCCAACATGCTGATGAAGTCTGGAATCAACCCCTTCGACTCCCAGGAGGTGTGGAGGGACTCTTTAGTGATAAGAGATGAATCTGTTAGGGATGGTTTCCCAGACTAAAGCTAAGGATGACCCTATCACAATATTATAACCTGCTAATGAAGTAAATTACTCCAGCAGATTCATATTTTAGTGAACATTTGATATTGGTGCATCTTTCATAATGTTTGAGTGTCTTTACTTTATGCTGATTATTTGTTCCTCTAAGGCGAAACCCTATAAAAATGATCCAGACATCCTTGCAATGACAAACTTGGTCAGGTAAGACTGCATCTCATTGGCTATTACTATCTAACCTTTCTGGGAAGAGTTTTTTTGCTTTAGCTATTCGTCTACATTGTGCTGCATGAACATTGTTTGATTATTGAATGGAAACCAATGTTATATTCCCCCCCCCCCCCCCCACAGTTCCTACCAGAACAACGACATCACAGAGTTTGAGAAGATCCTGAAGACCAATCACAGTAACATAATGGATGATCCGTTCATAAGGGAACATATAGAAGGTATGGTCTAGACATCACTTTCAGCTTGGTGTATTTGGTTAATGTTAATTAATCACAAAGCACAAACATATTAGCAAGTAGTAACATGCTTATAACAAGTTATAAATCCTTATACCTGGAGACAGGTATAAGGATTACTGAAAATTCCTTTATCTAATTATTTATTTCCTTGATTTTTGTCTTTCAGAATTATTACGAAACATAAGAACACAAGTTCTCATCAAATTAATCAAGCCTTACACAAGAATACACATACCTTTTATTTCAAAGGTAAGATCACTACAAAGATCTGTATCCAGCATTTATTTTTGAAAAAGCAAAGGTTATTATAAACGTTTTTGTCTTCTTCAGGAATTGAACATTGATGTGTGCGATGTGGAAAGCCTTCTTGTTCAGTGCATTCTAGACAGGTAAATTGCACGTTGGTACATCATTATTGTAGAACTTTTGCGAATTTACCATCATTGACCTTCTATTGAACTTTTTCTTCTTTATACCTGTCAGCACAATCAACGGCCGCATCGACCAAGTCAACCAACTGTTGGAGCTGGATCACCAAAAGAGGAACGGAGCCCAATACATGGCTTTAGACAAATGGACTAATCAGCTGAACACTCTCAACCAGGCCATCGTCAGCAAACTGGCCTAATCAGAGTAGTGGAACTGAAAAGTTAACAATTTGATGGTGTGTGCGCGGGGGGGGGGGTATTTCAACTGGAGGAGCGAAGTTAACCCAATTAATCTCGGTTTACAGTAGCAGTAGGTTACATTCTCTAGATGACAATAATGGATTGATGATGTTCAAACTTCCAATGGCAAACCTACAGTCACTAGTTATGTGACTGATCGTTTACGATAGAGGTCAGAGGTGCCAGTTTCCCGGGCAACAAATCAATCCTAGTTCTGGATTTAGAAGCATGCTCAAGGACAATGCTTTTTTGGTTTAGGACTTGGACTAGACTTAATCTGTCTGGGAAACCGGCCCTTGTGTCCTAAAACGAACAGATATCATTTAATAATATATAATATGCCATATCATTTACATTACAAAACAAAGATGGCCATTGTACAGATAGAGGATTGTAAAATCCCACATATGTACATTTCCTATAGTGAAAGAACATGTCTGTTCTCCCACTGTATTACCCCCTTCCATGGAAATGTGAACACACCAAATCATTGAAGTGTTATTAATGTTGGGCATGTTCCATGTTAAAATAACCATGTCCTTTTCTGTAAGATGTCAAGCACTCTCTATACAGTCTTTCATCAATGTAGCTCCACGTTTCATATGGTACATTGTTGTGACACTGTTGAAGATACATTTGAGATGTTCTGTTTTATTAATGAATAATAAATGATCATTGTTGCTTCCTATGGTGTCACTTTTTAAATATTTAACATATTTTTGCAAATCACGTGGAGGTGACTAATCTGTAAATATCATACAACTGCAACTATCTCTACAAATCCTCCCAAAGCACTATTTTCTTTCACTACCATATTTTCTTCTAAGTTTTGTAATTTGGGTTGTTGGCATATAAAAGCCATCTGTTTGAGCATGGTGTTTGATGGGGTCGTTTGAGGATGCGTGTTGAATTCACCAATCAGCGACGGAGTTTATGCCGCTGTTTGGACGCGCGATCTTTCAAAGGGGCGGCGAGTCCAAACACAGGAAGTTGACTACTACTAGCTAGCTAGCCAGCCAGATAGCTAACTTTTTTTTTTTGTTCATGATATATACGCAGACGTTTTGTTCTGACTGTTAACAAAACTGTACTCTTGTCAGGCTAATACGTTATTAGGTTGCTGTGCCTGTCATGCCAGTCGGTCGATGCTTAGTTTTGTTTTCTGGTAACTGGTTGCTATGTTAGCTAGCTAGCTAGCTAATGTTATTTAACCAGTCAGATCATTCATTGCCCAGCATCATGCGCATCTGCTGTTTGTAACGGTGTACATTTTGGATTTTTGTCCTCGTTGACAAAATTTATCATCGGATATCCACTTGTACTTCAAATCAAAAGGTAAGGTGATCTCTGAGTTGACTGTTTTGATCACTTTTCAAACTAGCTACTGTACTGTAACGTTACTGTTTGTTCTTCTAGTTAGTTACAGCTAACTAATTGACTAACGTTAGCTAGTTCGGTGTTGTTTTGAGTCTTACTACGGGCATAATGACAATGTCTGATACGAGGTGGGTGGTTTGTGTGAGCCCATCCGCACTCACTGTCAATCAAATACACAGCCACATCATGAACACCTGTGCCTTCTCAGGTCTTCTCTCAGCATTAGCACTGTGATCATCATGTCCATCGACTTTGATAGTGCTGCTCTGCAAACTCAACATGAGGAGGATGAATTCGACCCAGAGGACTATGCCAGAGAGCAAGAGGTACGACATTCTCTCTCTCTCTTTCCCTCGCCCTCTCTCTCTCTAATACACACACACAGACAATGTTATTTGTGTTGATAAACTTGCTTGTTGCTAGGGTAGTACCTCTGAAAGACCAGAGGATCAGGAATGTATCGTGCCTATGAAACAGTTAGGAACAGTGCTGCTATTATGTTTTCTGCCAATGGTTTCAGTGTGACCTCAAACACACACACACAAAAAATGGTTTTAGTCACATGCTTTGTAAACAACAGGTGTAGACTAAAGGCTGGTTTATGCTTTGTCTACAGACATGTTAATAGACAATTTGAATGCGACAAGTGTCGCTGGTCAAAACAGCATTTAATTTATTCTCCCGACTGTCGGTTTCCTTGTTGCAGACAGATGCAAAAAGTAAAATTTTGGGCGCGTTTGTAAATTCATTTTGGCTATCTATTCCGATTTCAGAGTACTCTTGTTTGAGTGTGCCAGAGCGCAGAATACCCGTTGAATATGACAGGTGTCAGTAAAAGTTGGCCAAAAAAACTGAATTAAGTTGTTGCTAGCAGCACAGTTAGTCACGAACGCTCTAGATAACATGAAAACAGCCTAACCAGTTGTTCTCTCATTTGTGTCTGGAAGTAGCTAGCAAGCTAGTCAACTTTAGCCAGTTAGCTTGACTGCGGTTGTGAGGTCAGATCGCTCAGATCAGCTCCACTGCTCAGGCAGAGTCCAGTGTGCGCTCTGAATGTATTTACTCATGGACAACTCTGAATTTATGAACACCCAGAGAGCACTCTGACACACTGGAGGCAATTTACGAACGCACCCTTTGACCCTGTCACCTGCATCCGTTGTCATACTAACATGATCGACCACGATAGAGCCCCACAGTGGAGGTGTCATAAAACCTGCTGTCAAACAGGGAAATTGGTCAAATTGTTTTTTCCTATTGTTTCCACCATTATTTTTTTCCCCATATGGGATTTTTAGAAACACTTAAAATAAGGGCTGTGTTTCCTGTAGGCTAACCCTGGCATGACGTTTTGATAACCATGTAAACCTCTTTCGGACAAAATTACTTTCATCAATATATTAAGCTCTATTTACTCTCCGATTCGAAAATGCATCAAAGTAGACATCCTACAGACTACAAAATCCCTCCAAGCTCCTGCACGTCATCTCTAGCAGACGCCTTTACTAACAGGCATTGTGTCAATTTAAAACTTGCCCAAGACAGTTCACAGAATTGTCAATTTAAATAAATGCAGCCAATTTATTAATGATCTACATTTAGCTAACATTAGATAGTTAATCCAGAGATGTTTACCTTTGCCTCCATTCGGCAGTCTCGTCCAGATCTTCATGTCATCTGTAGTTCTTTATGATAGCCACATTAGCAGTTAATCAGCATTTCATTTGTTTGGGGTAAATACCTGCGAATATTGATATTGATAAAAGTCACCTTGTCCGAGAGAGATTTACACGGTTATCAAAACAACACGCAAGAGTAAGCCTTCAGGAAACACAGCCCTGATTTTAAGTGTTTCTAATATCCCCTATGAGAAAAATTAATGGTGGAAAAACGATTGTAACCAATTTCTTGTCTGACCACTAGGTTTTATGGGTATTATGACTCTAGTACTGAGTTCAAAAATTCTCTGATACAATGCACTGCTTTTATTTCGTCACACACACAACCGTAAACTATTTTCTGTAATTAGCTCACCATTCATTTCTAAATAATGATCTTGTTGTGCGTTTATTTTCCTGTAATAATGAATAAAAATTGGACTGGCTAGCCAAACTAACCAAAACATTGTTTAGAAAGTTGCTTTTATTTGCCTGGTTTGCTAGATTGACATACAGTGAGGGGAAAAAAGTATTTGATCCCCTGCTGATTTTGTACGTTTGCCCACTGACAAAGACATGATCAGTCTATAATTTTAATGGTAGGTTTATTTGAACAGTGAGAGACAGAATAACAACAATTAAATCCAGAAAAAATGCATGTCAAAAATGTTATAAATTGATTTGCATTTTAAATGAGGGAAATAAGTATTAGACCCCTCTGCAAAACATGACTTAGTACTTGGTGGCAAAACCCTTGTTGGCAATCACAGAGGTCAGACGTTTCTTGTAGTTGCCACCAGGTTTGCACACATCTCAGGAGGGATTTTGTTCCACTCCTCTTTGCAGATCTTCTCCTAGTCACTAAGGTTTCGAGGCTGATGTTTGGCAACTCGAACCTTCAGCTCCCGCCACAGATTTTCTATGGGATTAAGGTCTGGAGACTGGCTAGGCCATTCCAGGACCTTAATGTGCTTCTTCTTGAGCCACTCCTTTGTTGCCTTGGCTGTGTGTTTTGGGTCATTGTCATGCTGAAATACCCATCCACTACCCATTTTCAATGCCCTGGCTGAGGGAAGGAGGTTCTCACCCAAGATTTGACGGTGCATGGCCCCGTCCATCGTCCCATTGATGCGGTGAAGTTGTCCTGTCCCCTTAGCAGAAAAACACCCCCAAAGCATAATGTTTCCACCTCCATGTTTGACGGTGGGGATGGTGTTCTTGGGGTCATAGGCAGCATTCCTCCTCCTCCAAACACGGCGAGTTTAGTTGATGCCGAAGAGCTCGATTTTGGTCTCATCTGACCACAACACTTTCACCCAGTTCTCCTCTGAATCATTCAGATGTTCATTGGCAAACTTCAGACGGGCCTGTACATGTGCTTTCTTGAGCAGGGGGACCTTGCGGGCGCTGCAGGATTTCAGTCCTTCACGACGTAGTGTGTTACCAATTGTTTTCTTGGTGACTATGGTCCCAGCTGCCTTGAGATCATTGACAAGATCCTCCCGTGTAGTTCTGGGCTGATTCCTCACCGTTCTCATGATCATTGCAACTCCACGAGGTGAGATCTTGCATGGAGCCCCAGGCCGAGGGAGATTGACAGTTATTTTGTGTTTCTTCCATTTGCGAATAATCGCACCAACTGTTGTCCCCTTCTCACCAAGCTGCTTGGCGATGGTCTTGTAGCCCATTCCAGCCTTGTGTAGGTCTACAATCTTGTCCCTGACATCCTTGGAGAGCTCTTTGGTCTTGGGCCATGGTGGAGAGTTTGGAATCGGATTGATTTATTGCTTCTGTGGACAGGTGTCTTTTTATACAGGTAACAAGCTGAGATTAGGAGCACTCCCTTTAAGAGTGTGCTCCTAATCTCAGCTCGTTACCTGTATAAAAGACACCTGGGAGCCAGAAATCTTTCTGATTGAGAGGGGGTCAAATACTTATTTCCCTCATTTAAAATGCAAATCAATTTATAACATTTTTGACATGCGTTTTTCTGGATTTTTTTGTTGTTATTCTGTCTCTCACTGTTCAAATAAACCTATCATAAAAAATTATAGACTGATCATTTCTTTGTCAGTGGGCAAACGAACAAAATCAGCAGGGGATCAAATACTTTTTTCCCCCCCACTGTATACTACCACCAGGCTGCTGATGTCATGTGTTAATACTTTTTCATAACGACAACGACCATTTTGATGTCGGACGACGATAGAATGTTCATGATGTCACAGCGACAACTGTCTACAGACATGTCGATAGACCAACTGTAAACCAGCCTCAACAGTGACATTCTTACTTACGACAACGCAGAGAGAAAGCAAACAGAGAAGTAATAAAGTAAAACGCGTAATAATAAATAAAGAATGAGTAACGATAACTTGGCTATATATACGGGGTAACAGTACCGCGTCGATGTGCAGAGGTACTAGGTAATTGAGGTAGATATGTACATATAACTAGGAGTAGAGTGACTAGGCAACAGGATAGATAATAAACAGTAGCAGCAGCGTATGTGACGAGTCAAAGTTAGTGCAAAAAGGTACAATGCAGCTGGCAGGGTTTGTTCTGGATCAAAAAGGTAAAGCTTCATTTTTGAGAACGTTTTAGAGGCCCCCATTTAATTCTTTTTTTTGGTCATTGTTGCAATTTTAGAATTCCTTCCTTCCTTCCTTTTCTGACTTGGTCACAGATACCTTAAAAAAACAAAAACAAAAGGAGGGGCGTGGATCAGAAAACCAGTCAGTATCTGTTGTGACCACCATTTGCCTCAGGCAGCGGCGACACATCTCCTTCGCATAGAGTTGATCAGGCTGTTGATTGTGGAATGTTGTGGCCTTTTATTGTCCCCAGCACAATTTGCACCTGTGTAGTGATCATACTGTTCAATCAGCTTCTTGATATGCCACACCTGTCAGGTGGATGGATTATCTTGGCAAAGGAGAAATGCTCACTAACAGGGAGGTAAACAAATTTGTGTACTAAATTTGAGTGAAATACATTTTTTGTGCGTGTGGAAAATGTGCGTGTGGAGAACACTTTACATGTTGCCTTCATTTTGTTCTCTCTCGCACTCTCTTTATATAAAACAAATGTAATATTTATGTTGTATTATACAGGGATCATTTGAAAAAATGACCTTGTTTCTAGGTCTACCCTGTTTTAAAATAAAGGTTAAATAAAACATTTTAAACTAACTATTTAGCAGTCTTATGGCTTGGGGGTAGAAGCTGTTCAGGGTCCTGTTGGTTCCAGACTTGATGCATCGCTACCGCTTGCCGTGCGGTAGCAGAGAGAACAGTTTATGAATTAGGGTGGCTGGAGTCTTCAACAATTTTTTTTTGGGCCTTCCTCTGACACCGCCTGGTATAGAGGTCCTGGATGGCAGTGAGCTTGGCGACGTGCTGGGCCTTCCTCTGACACCGCCTGGTATAGAGGTCCTGGATGGCAGTGAGCTTGGCGACGTGCTGGGCCTTCCTCTGACACCGCCTGGTATAGAGGTCCTGGATAGCAGTGAGCTTGGCGACGTGCTGGGCCTTCCTCTGACACCGCCTGGTATAGAGGTCCTGGATGGCAGTGAGCTTGGCGACGTGCTGGGCCTTCCTCTGACACTGCCTGGTATAGAGGTCCTGGATGGCAGTGAGCTTGGCGACGTGCTGGGCCTTCCTCTGACACCGCCTGGTATAGAGGTCCTGAATGGCAGTGAGCTTGGCGACGTGCTGGGCCATACACACTACTACTCTCTGTAGCACCTTGCAGTCGGATGCCAAGCAGTTGCTATACCAGGCGGTGATGCAGCCAGTCAAGATGCTCTCAATGGTGCAGCTGTATAACTTTTTGAGGATCTGAGGGCCCATGCCAAATCTTTTCAGCCTCCTGAGGGGGAAGAGGTGTTGTCGTGGCCTCTTCAGGACTGTGTTGGTGTGTGTGTGTGGACCATGATAAATCCTTAGTGATGTGAAAACAGACACAGAAAACAGTAACTATGCCTGTGCACTTAAGCAGCATATTCAGGCACCATATAGTCGGGGTTCATTGAAGTGATGTTCATGACCTCCTCTTTGGAATGCACGGCTGTGCCAAGGTTGAGCATAGACGGTGAAAATGTCTGATAGGGAGTTTAATGATTTGTCGACGTAGATGACATGTTCTTCAGATTTACTGAAGAGGCTCTGGGTCGGTCTTCTCATCTGGCAAATGTGTCATGACCACATCATCTCTGTCATGACCACATCGTCTCTGATATGACCACATCATCTCTGACATGACCACATCATCTCTGACATGACCACATCATCTCTGACATTGTGGTATATTTAGGAGTAGATCATCTACGTGATCTGAACGGTCACACTGCCCACTCTTAGTACTGTATTTGGTACAGTGTGACAGTGGGAACCTTGTTGCCTGCCGTTTTGCATTTCTAAGACATCGCCTGGTCCAATCAGATGCAGGCATTCTCAGTGTGTTACTCACCTCTCAGCCATCTGCTCTGTTCAACCCCCAACCTGTTACCTGTGCTGTGCTGGGATATTATTGCCCCAGGCCAGGCAGAACAGGCTCAGCCATCTGCTCTGTTCAACCCCCAACCTGTTACCTGTGCTGTGCTGGGATATTATTGCCCCAGGCCAGGCAGAACAGGCTCAGCCATCTGCTCTGTTCATCCCCCAACCTGTTACCTGTGCTGTGCTGGGATATTATTGCCCCTGGCCAGGCAGAACAGGCTCAGCCATCTGCTCTGTTCATCCCCCAACCTGTTACCTGTGCTGTGCTGGGATATTATTGCCCCTGGCCAGGCAGAACAGGCTCAGCCATCTGCTCTGTTCATCCCCCAACCTGTTACCTGTGCTGTGCTGGGATATTATTGCCCCAGGCCAGGCAGAACAGGTGCAAAGTCTGCCGGTTCACCCAACTGAACTGTGCTGCTGCTGTATTTCCCATGCAAAAGCTAACGCCATTCTCTCTGTTCTCTCTCCACTTCAGTAGTGTGAGCAGGCAGAGCGGAGAAGTTGCATTCACTAGGCCACACCGCTTCTCTCTGGATTTAATAAAACAGAAGCATTATACTTTTGCTATTCCCACTTCTGTGATAAACGAAGGAGTTGCATTCAACTAGGCCACACCGCTTACTCTCTGGATTAATAAAACAGAAGAGTTGCATTCAACTAGATTCGACTAGGCCACACCGCTTACTCTCTGGATTATATAAAACAGAAGAGTTGCATTTTACTAGACTAGATCAAGCATGGCTGGATTATTGAAGCCCTGACTGGAATGGATTATCATTGGATTAACATTGCATTGATAAAAAACTTGATTTATTCTACAGAGAACTGACTACATTATTATTTTTTGCTTGTATGTTGAACGTACGGGAGGCTATTATGCGCAACAAGTCGGTCATGTGAAAAATGTTGGTCACTGGTGGAAATCTGAAGTGTTTCTGCTCCACTAAACCAGGCTAAATGGTGTGTGTGTGTGAACCAGACGGGAACACGACACAAGGCTACCCTAGAACATGCTTGGGCGCAGGCCTTCGGATGTTTCATAGTCGCACAAAATGATCCTCTGTGTGGTGAGACGAGACCGGAATCATGTGGCTCGGGTAACTGAAGTAGACGCCTTTCTTCAGTTCTGTTGATAACTGACATGAGTGGGACATTTTGAGGCCTGCTCTGGTTGGGGGATATGCATCCTACGATTGAGGACACAGTGGAAGATGTGAGGAACATCCAACTGGCCTTATGGGAAGTAAGTAGCTGTCTTTTTTTACTGTTCTCTTCACCCAGGCTACAGGGTACTCAGGCTGCATACTGAAATGGCGCCCTATTCCCTATATAGGAAGTGCATTAAAATTGAGCATGGCTGGTCAAAAGTAGTTAACCATAAGGAATAGGCCTTACTCTTCACTCAGGGCTCCCTGTAGCTCGCTGTAGTGTAGAGCACATGTATTTATGTCGCCGGCTGTCAGGGAAACCTGTTGTGGGAGTCTCTCAACAGCTCAAAGGGTTTCGCCTGGGCGTGACGCCTGACGCAGTGGAGAGTTGCTGTCTGTCTGTTGGACATGAGCTTATTTGCTTCGTATACTTTGTCAAATCAGAAATGACTACAGTGAAAATGGACAAATGCTTTTCACATGTTGAATTTTAGAGGAGAGGTGCAATTAAAAAAAAAAAAAAAGGCGTTTGTTTAGAAATAATATAAATTTTATTTTAAGCAGTTCTGTGAACATTCTCAAGGTTTTTTATAACTCCTGAGACATGTAGTTTCAGTGGCTGAGGGAATTCTTTAACCTATTTGAGCGATTGCCCCCACTGTTTTCCTAGACTGTGTCACTGTATAACCCTGTAACCAAGGTAACCACAGCACAGTGAGTCATATTCACATGTTGTGTTTCTTCTTCTCTAGCTCCACAAGCTGCTGACTGACCTGCCTGATGACGTGCTGTTTCTTCTTCTCTAGCTCCACAAGCTGCTGACTGACCTGCCTGATGACGTGCTGTTTCTTCTTCTCTAGCTCCACAAGCTGCTGACTGACCTGCCTGATGACGTGTTGTTTCTTCTTCTCTAGCTCCACAAGCTGCTGACTGACCTGCCTGATGACGTGCTGTTTCTTCTTCTCTAGCTCCACAAGCTGCTGACTGACGTGTTGTTTCTTCTTCTCTAGCTCCACAAGCTGCTGACTGACCTGCCTGATGACATGCTGTTTCTTCTTCTCTAGCTCCACAAGCTGCTGACTGACCTGCCTGATGACATGCTGGAGGACAGCAGAGACTCCTCCTCTCCGGAGCTGGACTGCTCTCCCCGTAGCAATCCAGACACACGTAACAGGTAAGGTTATTTACAGTGGGGAAAAAAAGTATTTAGTCAGCCACCAATTGTGCAAGTTCTCCCTCTTAAAAAGATGAGAGAGGCCTGTAATTTTCATCATAGGTACACGTCAACTATGACAGACAAATTAAGAAAAAAAAATCCAGAAAATCACATTGTAGGATTTTTGATGAATTTATTTGCAAATTATGGTGGGAAATTAGTATTTGGTCACCTACAAACAAGCAAGATTTCTGGCTCTCACAGACCTGTAACTTCTTATTTAAGAGGCTCCTCTGTCCTCCACTCGTTACCTGTATTAATGGCACCTGTTTGAACTTGTTATCAGTATAAAAGACACCTGTCCACAACCTCAAACAGTCACACTTCAAACTCCACTTTGGCAAAGACCAAAGAGCTGTCAAAGGACACCAGAAACAAAATTGTAAACCTGCACCAGGCTGGGAAGGCTGAATCTGCAATAGGTAAGCAAATTGGTTTGAAGAAATCAACTGTGGGAGCAATTATTAGGAAATGGAAGACATACAAGACCACTGATAATCGCCCTCGATCTGGGGCTCCACGCAAGATCTCACACCGTGAGGTCAAAATGATCACAAGAACGGTGAGCAATAATCCCAGAACCACACGGGGGGACATAGTGAATGACCTGCAGAGAGCTGGGACCAAAGTAACAAAGCCTACCATCAGTAACACACTACGCCGCCAGGAACTCAAATCCTGCAGTGCAAGACGTGTCCCCCTGCTTAAGCCAGTACATGTCCAGGCCCGTCTGAAGTTTGCTAGAGTGCATTTGGATGATCCAGAAGAGGATTGGGAGAATGTCATATGGTCAGATGAAACCAAAATAGAACTTTTTGGTAAAAACTAAACTCTTTGTGTTTGGAGGACAAAGAATGCTGAGTTGCATCCAAAGAACACCATACCTACTGTGAAGCATGGGGGTGGAAACATCATGCTTTGGGGCTGTTTTTCTGCAAAGGGACCAGGACGACTGATCCGTGTAAAGGAAAGAATGAATGGGGCCATGTATCGTGAGATTTTGAGTGAAAACCTCCTTCCATCAGCAAGGGCATTGAAGATGAAACATGGCTGGGTCTTTCAGCATGACAATGATCCCAAACACACCACCCGGGCAACGAAGGAGTGGCTTCGTAAGAAGCATTTCAAGGTCCTGGAGTGGCCTAGCCAGTCTCCAGATCTCAACCCCATAGAAAATCTTTGGAGGGAGTTGAAAGTCCGTGTTGCCCAGTGACAGCCCCAAAACATTACTGCTCTAGAGGAGATCTGCATGGAGGAATGGGCCAAAATACCAGCAACAGTGTGAGAAAACCTTGTGAAGAATTACAGAAAACGTTTGACCTGTGTCATTGCCAACTAAGGGTATATAACAAAGTATTGAGAAACTTTTGTTATTGACCAAATACTTATTTTCCACCATAATTTGCAAATAAATTCATAAAAAATCCTACAATGTGATTTTCTGGATTTTTTTTGCTCATTTTGTCTGTCATAGTTGACGTGTACCTATGATGAAAATTACAGGCCTCTCATCTTTTTAAGTGGAAGAACTTGCACAATTGGTGGCTGACTAAATATTTTTTTTCCCCACTGTATATTTATTTATTCAGCCAGAGACCGAGATGAAATGGAGGGGGGAGTAGCAGCAGAGGGGGGAGTGGGGAAGGGGGATGGGGAGAGTAGGAGTAGAGGTGGGGTCAGGGTTCGTTCCCACGCTTAGGGTGTAGTATAGGTATACCAGGCGGTGGTGTTACCCAGTAGACCAGCCTCGGGCACAAGACACACATTTTGAATGTTGGTACATTTAGGCTAGCAGCCATCATGGGATAACGCAGAACACACATTTCCATTGGACATTCATGGATACTAACCTGTGCCCCCGCACATTGACTGTACCGGTACCCCCTGTATATAGCCTCCCTACTGTTATTTCACATTGACTCTGTACCGGTACCCCCTGTATATAGCCTCCCTACTGTTATTTCACATTGACTCTGTACCGGTACCCCCTGTATATAGCCTCCCTACTGTTATTTCACATTGACTGTACCGGTACCGCCTGTATATAGCCTCCCTACTGTTATTTCCCATTGACTCTGTACCGGTACCCCCTGTATATAGCCTCCCTACTGTTATTTCACATTGACTCTGTACCGGTACCCCCTGTATAAAGCCTCCTTACTGTTATTTCCCATTGACTCTGTACCGGTACCCCCTGTATATAGCCTCCCTACTGTTATTTCACATTGACTCTGTACCGGTACCCCTGTATAAAGCCTCCTTACTGTTATTTCACATTGACTCTGTACCGGTACCCCCTGTATATAGCCTCCCTACTGTTATTTCACATTGACTCTGTACCGGTACCCCCTGTATATAGCCTCCCTACTGTTATTTCACATTGACTCTGTACCGGTACCCCCTGTATATAGCCTCCCTACTGTTATTTCACATTGACTCTGTACCGGTACCCCCTGTATATAGCCTCCCTACTGTTATTTCCCATTGACTCTGTACCGGTACCCCCTGTATATAGCCTCCCTACTGTTATTAGATGAGTTGTACGTTTTTGTATTGATGATCATTCCATACACCTCAGTAGGACTTATCGTTTTGTATTGATGATCTTCTACAGATCACAATCAGGCTATCGTTTGTATGATGATCACCATACAAAGACTTATCGTTTTGTATGATGTCCCAGATCACACAAACACCTGCCTCTCATGAGAGATGTAAGAGTTTCAACAACCCAAGAAACAACGAATGGTCCGATCACCAAACACCTGCCTCTCATGAAGAAGTAAGAGTTTCAACAACCCAAGACTTCCCTTGTCAGTTGTTGAATGTGACGTTGTGTGTTCATATCGAGATCTTGAGATAAGTGTTATATAAGATATGTGTTATATCGGGTGACGTGTTATGCCAACACCATATTTTTAAAGGGAAACCAATATTGTCCCTGTCCTTTGCAGAACAATGAGGAATATGACCAACCACGGCTCCTACCATGAGTACCCCTACGAAGAGGTTGCTGGGGTTGGGCAGATCAACAGCCATGCTAACCATGCCAGTGTCCCCCAACAGGGCCACCCTCCTATACCCCAGCCTAAGGCCTGGAACCAGCGAGGACTGACTGAGTACCAGCATGTACGTCATGTTTTTAACTCGAACTGGCCTAATAAAACATCAAGCCTAGTCCTGGACTCAAAATGATATTCTCCATTGAAAGTGCTTCTTAGGCTTGATCTGTGTCTGGGAAACCGGCCCCAAGGTTTTTTTTTAAATTATGAGCGAGAGACGTGACTATTCTCTTCCAATGCAGCCCTTATGATTTTTGGTTGCAACTCAAGTCACATGGGTTTTAACAACAACTTCATCTCCCCTCCGAACAGGAGCACCAACATTATAGCCATGGTGAAGGTTACACGTACACCAGCGTGGGTACCGAGCAGTCTGCAGCAGCCGGTCCTGATTTCTCCACGGAGGAGGCGGGGTATGGAGATGAGCTGTACCCACGTGGCGCTGTTCTCCCTGGGGTGGAGTACCAAGTAGTGGGGGGGGGACAGAGGGACGAGGAGAGCTACGCCGGTGGGGATCAGAACAACACCAGGAAGCACGTCCAAGTGAGTGGGGTCATATTTTATTTTTATTTTTTACTTCAACAAGATTTTGATGAGAGTAGATGTTGTTGTTGTTTTTTTCATGTTTTTATGGACAGTAATGTGACTGTAAGAAATCTGGCATTAAACTCAATTAGAATCTTGTTACCAGTAATAATAATGCATTGATATCATCAATCATTATTCGATAGTCTCTGGGCTGATCAAATTGATTTATTGTCTCACCGTTGTTATGTTGTCCTCCTGTAGAACTTTGACAGTGGCGGATCAGGAGACCATTATAAGGCCAGCTACAACCCCTACCAGCCTGCTAGCCAGACCAAGATGTTCAACTCCGAGGTCCCTCACCAGCACCTTGACGACCACTATGACCAGCTGCAGAGAGACTTCCTGGACTCAGCACAGAGTGAGTCTTTTCACATTGTCTTGGTTGGATGTTCATGATCTTCTCACAAAGTTGGCCAAAAGAATTACATTTAAAAAAAATTTTTTAAGTTGTTCCGATATTTACTTGGACGGATCGAAAAATTTGACCGGTTATGTTGTTATTGTTGTTGTTGTTCTTCATGGCTTGCTTATTTGATGTTTATTGATAAGGTAGGAGATTCATCCTCATTTTTTTGTTCCACGTGTCCCAGGTACTGCAGACGCTCAGCAGCTGGCCCAGCTCCAGATCCTGAACCAGGCCCACCTGAGACAGATCGAAGACCTGGAGCAGAAACTGGAGGATTCAAGACGCAACATGAGATACCTGGAGCATCAGTTTGCCATCGTGAGAGGTATGTGGATACTGGGAAACCATATGCTAGTCTACTGTCCCACTTCATGAACTGTCATGCGCATGTGTAGTGGAAGTGAAAACTCACCCATAACATGTTGGCTGGTGACATTCACCTTCCCTTAGATCTGAAACCTAAAGCCAACTGACACTCACGGATTGACGGACTAGTCTCTTGCTCTGTTGGCTAAGAGGGTTAGCTTTGAGTGGTGTGTTTTTTTGGGGCAGATGGTTGTGAGTTCCAGCCCATCTCATGGCAGAACCGAATGCACTCTGTTATACATGAATAGCTAGATGTTCCTCTCCCCCCCCCAGATGAGAAGGAGGGTCTGGTGGTGAGTCTGAAGGAGTCCAACAGAGTGACGGAGGAGGCCAAGGAGAGAGAGGTGCTGCTGCAGACTAGCGTTAAGTCTTTGGAGCTGCGGGTCCAGGCGCTCACTGACCGAGATCATGAGGTACGGTTTATGTCAGTTGACGTTACCATGACGATAATGGATTTTGGGGGTTGTAGAACACCCTGCGCTTGATGGGAGACTTGTATTCAAATTCTAGTCGGTTGGATTGGAACGTTGTCCTAGGGCTGTGGCGGTCATGACGTTTTGTCAGCCAGTTATTGTCATGCGGATGGATTACTGCCGGTCTCACGGCAATTGACCGTTAATGAACATAAACACGTTTAGCATCTCCAGGCCCCCCATGCATACAAGCCACTGATGTGCGCTATAATATACACAATCACAACAAATCCGTTATTTACAGTGCCTTCGGAAAGTATTCAGACCTCTTGACTTTTTCCACATTTTGTTACGTTACAGCCCTTATTCTAAAATGGATTAAATAAGAACATTTCCTCAGCAATCTACTCGCAATACCCCATAATGACGAAGCGAAAACAGGTTCTTTAGAAGTTTTTCAAAATGTATAAAAAAACAGAAATACCTTATCTGCATAAGTATTCAGACCCTTTGCTATGAGACTCGAAATTGAGCTCAGGTGCATCCTGTTTCCATTGATCATCCTTGAGATGTTTTTACAACTTGATTGGTGTCCATCTCTGGTAAATACAATTGATAGGACATGATTTGGAAAGGCACACACCTGTCTATATAGGGTCCACACCTGTCTATACAGTTGACAGTGCATATCAGAGCAAAAACCAAGCCATGAGGTCGAAGGAATTGTCCGTAGAGCTCCAAGACAGGATTGTGTCGAGGCACAGATCTGGGGAAGGCTACCGAAACATTTCTGCAGGATTGAAGGTCCCCAAGAACACAATGGCCTCCATCATTCTTAAATGGAAGAAGTTTGGAACCACCAAGACTCTTCCTAGAGCTGGCCGCCCGGCTAAACTGAGCAATTGGGGGAGAAGGGCCTTGGTCAGGGAGGTGACCAAGAATCCGATGGTCACTCTGACAAAGCTCCAGAGGTCCTCTGTGGAGATGGGAGAACCTTCCAGAAGGACAACCATCTCTGCAGCACTCCACCAATCAGGCCTTTATGGTAGAGTGGCCAGACGGAAGCCACTCCTTAGTAAACGGCACGACAGCCCGCTTGGAGTTTGCCAAAAGGCACCTAAAGGACTCTCAGACCATGAGAAACAAGATTCTCTGGTCTGATGAAACCAAGGTTGAACTCTTTGGCCTGAATGCCAAGCGTCATGTCTGGAGGAAACCTGGCACCATCCCTACGGTGAAGCATGGTGGTGGCAGCATCATGCTGTGGGGATGTTTTTCAGTGGCACGGGACTAGGAGACAAGTCAGGACCGAGGCAAATTACTGAGAGCTGGGTAGGCTACTCCGGTTTTTATAGCGAAGCAGCTGAGAAATCATTATAGTAGCAGCTGGGATCCTCTTCTTTTTTGTGGCAACCATTAAAACTCTACTTTCACATGGGATCGCATATAGAAATGTCTGGGCTTATAAGAACACTTATTTCACTTCACACATCAACCACTGTTTGAGGAGCAGCCTCTCGCTGCGCTACAGGTGATTATATTCCGCCCAAACTCTGTATGCCTTTTGGCTCTCCAACCCTGTTCCTGCTGCTACCCAGTGTTTAATTTGGGAAACCAAGTGAAATCTGTTCGGTAACATGTTTTCACAACGAAACATATTTAATTAAACTGATAACAGGCCCTATCTCTGCGTACCCAAGAATGAAATGAAAGGGAGAGAGGAGGAGATGGAAACGCACGGTGGTGAGATTCTGTAGCTAAAAGGTAATGTGTTAGCCGATTTTTTTTTTTTTTTTAATTATTATGAAAATATACAAAAATGCCCTATTACTAAGCTATTTAAAATCAAATACAAATTCACGATTGTAGGGCTAACTGTAAGCAGCCCTGCACAATCAATGAACCAACAGCATGGCCTCGGCCGATACGTTCTCTCCCAGACGCATGGATAGACATTTTGGAGCGTAGCATAAGGTAACCAGGCCATCCATTATGCATACTAATACAGTATCAAAATTTTTTTCTTGAATCTATGTTTTTTTAATGTTTTTCTGTCGTGCGTAATATGCGGTAGGCTATTGCATTGTATAACGACACAATCATTATTTTAAATATTTTTATTTTTTACTTGCCCTATGAGTATTCATAAGCTCTAATATGCATATGGATGTTCTACATGCAACGTCTTAAATGTTTTAAAATTAATCATCACCTTAGAAAGCGCTGTCCATTTTGTTGTTTTAGTTTTTAAACAACATCCACAGCGACCGTGTTTTCCACTCAGTTTCAACCTGTTGAACTTTTTTTTTCTTTCTTTCAAATTGATCAATCACAGTGAGGTCAAACAATGTAGCCTGACGGTGACTTTTAAAAGCATGATACTGTTTTGATGATAAGTGTTTGATGTGGTTTTCGATTGCATTTGCATTGACGTCAGAGTGGTTAGAGGGACAATGGGAGCCCTGAGTACCAGGCAGTTAGCGACCAGATGGTTAGAGGAACAATGGAGCCCTGAGTACCAGGCAGTTAGCGACCTGATGGTTAGAGGGACAATGGAGCCCTGAGTACCAGGCAGTTAGCGACCTGATGGTTAGAGGGACAATAGAGCCCTGAGTACCAGGCAGTTAGCGACCTGATGGTTAGAGGAACAATGGAGCCCTGAGTACCAGGCAGTTAGCGACCTGATGGTTAGAGGAACAATGGAGCCCTGAGTACCAGGCAGTTAGCGACCTGATGGTTAGAGGAACAATGGAGCCCTGAGTACCAGGCAGTTAGCGACCTGATGGTTAGAGGAACAATGGAGCCCTGAGTACCAGGCAGTTAGCGACCTGATGGTTAGAGGAACAATGGAGCCCTGAGTACCAGGCAGTTAGCGACCTGATGGTTAGAGGAACAATGGAGCCTGAGTACCAGGCAGTTAGCGACTGATGGTTAGAGGAACAATGGAGCCCTGAGTACCAGGCAGTTAGCGACCTGATGGTTAGAGGAACAATGGAGCCTGAGTACCAGGCAGTTAGCGACCTGATGGTTAGAGGAACAATGGAGCCCTGAGTACCAGGCAAGTTAGCGACCTGATGGTTAGAGAGAACATGGAGCCTGAGTACCAGGCAGTTAGCGACCTGATGGTCTTAAGTGAGTTGAGTACTACCAACGCATGTCCAGAGTGCAAAAGGGGAGATTATCATGACTCAACGGTCATGTCGAATTTGACAGCAGTCATGACTCATGACTTCCCTTGTGGCAGTAATACGGTCACCGCAACAACCCTAGTTGTAGACCAGGGTTCCAACCCTGTTCCTGGAGAGCTACCCTCCTGTAGGTTTTAACTCCAACCCTGTTCCTGGAGAGCTACCCTCCTGTAGGTTTTAACTCCAACCCTGTTCCTGGAGAACTACCCTCCTGTAGGTTTTCACTCCGACCCCGTTCCTGGAGAGTTACCCTCCTGTAGGTTTTCACTCCGACCCCGTTCCTGGAGAGCTAACCTCCTGTAGGTTTTCACTTGACTTTTTCCAAGTTTTGTTGTGTTACGGGCCAAATTTAAAATTGATTATGGTGTACACTCAATACACCATAATGTCAGTGTTTTTTAAAACATTTTTACAAAGTAATTAAAAGCTGAAATGTCTTGAGTATTCAACCCCTTTGTCATGGCAAGCCTAAATAAGTTCAGGAGTAAAAATGTGCTTAACAAGTCACATAGGAAGTTGCATGGACTCACTCTATGTGCAATAATAGTGTTTAACATAATTTTTGAATGACTACATTTGACATTTTAGTCATTTAGCAGACGCTCTTATCCAGAGTGACATACAGGAGCAATTGGGGTTAAGTACCTTGCAACAGATTTTTCACGTAGTCGGCTCAGAGATTCGAACCAGCAACCTTACGATTACTGGTCCAATGCTCTTAAACACTTGGCTACCTGATTACCCCATCACTGTACCCCACACATACAATTATCTGAAAGGTCCCTCAGTCGAGCAGTGAATTTCAAACACAGATTCAACCACAAAGACCAGGGAGGTTTTCCAATGCCTATTGGTAGATGGGTAAAAATGAAGAAAAAAAAAGCAGACCTTGAGTATCCCTTTCAGCATGGTGAAGTTATTAATTACACTTTGGATGGTTTATCAATACACCCAGTCGCTACAAAGATACAGGCGTCCTTCCTAACTCAGTTGCCGGAGAGGAAGGAAACCACTCAGGGATTTCACCATGAGGCCAATGGTGACTTAAAAACCGTTACACAGTTCAATGGCTGTGATAGGAGAAAACTGAGGATGAATCAACAACATTGTAGTTACTCCACAATACTAACCTAATTGACAGAGTGAAAAGAAGGAAGCCTGTACAGAATACAAAAATTCAAAAAAATTCATCCTGTTTGCAACAAGGCACTAAAGTAATACTGCAAAAAATGTGGCAAAGCAATTCACTTTTGGCCTGAATACAAAGTGTTATGTTTGGGGCAAATCCAATACAACACATTACTGAGTACCACTCTTCCATATTTTCAAGCATAGTGGTGGCTGCATCATGTTATGGGTATGCTTGTAATCATCAAGGACTGGGGAGTTTTTCAGGATAAAAAATAAACAGAATGGAGCTAAGCACAGGCAAAATCCTAGAGGAAAACCTGGTTCAGTCTGCTTTCCACCAGACACTGGGAGATGAATTCACCTTTCAGCAGGACAATAACCTCATTTCGAAAAGAATAATGGGCAAATATTGCACAATCCAGGTGTGGAAAGCTCTTAGAGACTTACCCAGAAAGACTCATAGCTGTAATCGCTTCCAAAGGTGCTTCTACAAAGTATTGACTCGGGTGTGAATACTTATGTAAATGAGATATTTCTGTATTTTATTTTCTGTATTTTATTTAAATGTGCAAACAATTATAAAAACATGTCTTCACTTCATCATTATGGGGTATTGTGTGTAGATGGGTGAGAAATAAAAATCTATTTAATCCATTTTTAATTCAGGCTGTAACACAACAAAGTGGAATAAGTCAAGGGGTATGAATAGTTTCTGAAAGCGCTGTTACTAACCTGATTCAGCTCATCAATCAGCTAATTATTAGAATCCGGTGCGCTAGATTAGGGTTGGAGTGAACCTACAAGAGGGTAGCTCTCCAGGAACAGGGTTGGAGTGAACCTACAGGAAGGTAGCTCTCCAGGAACAGGGTTGGAGTGAACCTACAGGAGGGTAGCTCTCCAGGAACAGGGTTGGAGTGAACCTACAGGAGGGTAGCTCTCCAGGAACAGGGTTGGAGTGAACCTACAGGAGGGTAGCTCTCCAGGAACAGGGTTGGAGTGAACCTACAGGAAGGTAGCTCTCCAGGAACAGGGTTGGAGTGAACCTACAGGAGGGTAGCTCTCCAGGAACAGGGTTGGAGTGAACCTACAGGAGGGTAGCTCTCCAGGAACAGGGTTGGAGAGTCCTGTTGTAGACACTGGTTCTCTACCCTTCTCCCGAAATGTGCTCCTTTTCATGGATTTAACTATGTTGGGAACCTACCTCAGCTAGTGCAGTGCCCACTTTGTGAGAAGAGTTGAGGATAAGCCTGCGGAATACAAATAGTGTGTGTGTGTGTGTGTGTGTGTGTGTCTCTCTCTCCCTCTAGAACACTAAACAGCAGCATGTGGCGGAGGCAGCAGTGGACAGCATGCAGCAGCAGATGATGGAACTGTGTCGGTCAGACAGTCTGTCCAGAGCCAGAGAGCAACACGACAGAGACCTGACAGTGGTCAGAGAGCAGCATGACGCCAAGCTGCTGGTGTTACAGCAGAGACTGGACGCCTGCACTCAGGCCCTGGAAGAACAGGTCAGGACCCAGTGGAATTGATGTTGTCGTCATATTAACCAGTAAACATTATCACTTATCGTTTGTTCTTGGTATCACTCTTGACTATCTTGACTATTTTGAGCTAATGAGACATTGTAAGCGGTTCATACATGCTTATGACAATGTAATGAATGCATTATAACCGCAGGCTTTAAATGAATCCATCGTGAAATTTACTGTATTGGTCCTGGGTGCTCTCTGGTCACGATTGACTGTGAACCTGAGAGTTGTCACAGTGCTGTCAGTGAATCCCATACTAACCACTGTAGTTGCTGTGGTATGGTCCAGGCGGAGGTGGTCCAGTGTCTGCGTGATCAGGTGAGGCAGCAGGCTAGACGGAGAGAGGAGGAGCAGGTGGAGAGAGCAGGAGTCATCAACACCCTCACACAGCATCTAGAGGAGAGCCAACAGCAGTGTGCCAAACTGCTACAGACTGGTGTGTGTCTGTGTCCGTCTGTGTCCGCGTGTGTCCGTCTGTGTCTGTCCGTGTGTATGTTTGTGCTGTCCAAACTGCTCCGTGTTTGTGTGAGTGCTGTCACCAACATGGGAAATGTTGAAGCCCCCTCTGTCCATCACCTGTTTATTGAAGCCCTCTCTGTCATCACCTGTTTATTGAAGCCCTCTCTGTCCATCACCTGTTTATTGAAGCCCTCTCTGTCCATCACCTGTTTTATTGAAGCCCTCTCTGTCCATCACCTGTTTTATTGAAGCCCCCTCTGTCCGTCACCTGTTTATTGAAGCCCTCTCTGTCATCACCTGTTTATTGAAGCCCCCTCTGTCCATCACCTGTTTATTGAAGCCCCCTCTGTCCATCACCTGTTTATTGAAGCCCCCTCTGTCAATCACCTGTTTATTGAAGCCCCCTCTGTCCATCACCTGTTTATTGAAGCCCCCTCTGTCCATCACCTGTTTATTGAAGCCCCCTCTGTCCATCACCTGTTTAAAATCAAATCAAATCAAATTTTATTGGTCACATGCGCCGAATACAACAGGTGCAGACATTGCAGTGAAATGCTTACTTACAGCCCTTAACCAACAGTGCATTTATTTTAAACAAAAAAGTAAAAAATAAAACAACAACAAAAAAAAGTGTTGAGAAAAAAAAGAGCAGAAGTAAAATAAAGTGACAGTAGGGAGGCTATATATACAGGGGGGTATTGAAGTATACAGGGGGTTTATTGAAGCCCCCTCTGTCCATCACCTGTTTATTGAAGCCCCCTCTGTCCATCACCTGTTTATTGAAGCCCCCTCTGTCCATCACCTTTTTATTGAAGCCCCCTCTGTCCATCACCTGTTTATTGAAGCCCTCTCTGTCCATCACCTGTTTATTGAAGCCCCCTCTGTCAATCACCTGTTTATTGAAGCCCCCTCTGTCCAGCACCTGTTTTATTGAAGCCCTCTCTGTCCATCACCTGTTTTTATTGAAGCCCTCTCTGTCCATCACCTGTTTTATTGTTCAGGTTCAGTCCAGGAGATGGGCCAGCTGCAAATGAAACTACAGCAGACTCAGTCAGCCAAGACCATGAGTGACAACATGAACAAAGCCTTGCAGGTATTCTCTTAGGTCCTTTTTGATTTGCATCCAGAAATGTAGATGTTGATAATGAATAGTCAAATGTGTATCACAAAAAACACTTTTGTTGTTTCTATGCAGAAGTGCACTTTGTCGAGTTAAAGAAATGTAAACGTAAGAATGTAATGAAAGGAAAATGTGCTTCATGTTAAACCGCTCTTCTGAAGGATCAGATCGACCTTTAATACCTGTTTATAAGCCTTTAATACCTGTTTATAAGCCTTTAATACCTGTTTATAAGCCTTTAATACCTGTTATAAGCCTTTAATACCTGTTATAAGCCTTTAATACCTGTTATAAGCCTTTAATACCTGTTTATAAGCCTTTAATACCTGTTATAAGCCTTTAATACCTGTTTATAAGCCTTTAATACCTGTTATAAGCCTTTAATACCTGTTATAAGCCTTTAATACCTGTTATAAGCCTTTAATACCTGTTATAAGCCTTTATAATGCCTTATTATAGCGGTTATAATGTTATGTCACTTTTTTCTCCATCTCAGGAGGAGTTGTCTGAGCTGAAGGAGCAGATCTGTCTGTATGAGTCTGCAGTGAAACATGGAGTCATCTCTGTTGAGGTGAACGGAGGAGATCTATGGGAGAACCAGCTGTCTGACTCCTATGTAGACCTGGGGATCAAGAAGACTAACTGGAAGAACGGACGAGTTCACAGGTACGCAATGGAACAATTGAATGTTGTACCTTTTAGATGTGAACTTGAAGTATCCACTTAGTTTCAGGGTTGGTGTAAATTGTATTTCAGTTCAGTCAAATTCAGAAAGTAAACTGAATGAGGAGTTAAAAAGTCCGTTTTATTTCCTACATTGAAATGGAATTGACCCCCAACACTGTTCAGTTTATAATCTCCTGAACTCCAGTCTTATCTGTTAAGAAACTTTTTTTTAATGTGTATTATTAGTGGTCCCGTACGGCTCAGTTGGTAGAGCATGGCGCTTGCGACGCCAGAGTCGGGGGTTCAGATCCCGCAAGGACCACAAACATAATACAACTGTATGCACTGTCTGAACTGTCTGTATGTTGATTCGGATAAAAGCGTCTACCTACGTGGCACATGTATAAAGTTCTCAGCTGTGTTTTACCATGTTCTCCTTCTGCCCTGCAGTACTCCTCTGGTGGAGGTGTCTGAGCCCAACCCCAAGCTGCCCAGAGAGAAGGAGGAAGGGGCTGTGAGGGAGCTGAGGGCCGAGCTCCAGCGCTGTCTGGCCAGTCTGAAGGGGAAGAGGCAGAGGATCAGCCAGCTCCAAGACCAACTACGGGACTCACAGGGACGAGTTAGTGATGGACATTTTTTTATTTTTTTCCCCGAGGAATTTCAGATCGCCCTTGCAAAAGAGGTTTCTAAGCTCAAGGCTGTTTCCTGGTTAAATAAACGTGAAATTAAAATAATTCCCACTATTTGGATTCATCCTCGATTTGTGTATAATTAAAACTCAGATATCCCATCGCCAAAAGTCCTATTTTCTCTCTTATTTTGTCCTATTTTCTTTCTTGTCCGGATCCCGTCCCTGCAGGTGGACCAGCTACAGACCCAGTTAGACCAGGACCAGACCAGCAACACCGCAGAAACCAGACCAATGGACACGCATCCAGATGTAGCTTCCCAGAAAGAGTTGTCCAGACTGCAGGAGGACAGGCAGCGCCTACAAGAACGCCTTGAGGTTGGCAGCTGAATTTATCATTTGATAACAAGTCTCGAAAGCTTTTCACACTATTGAGCTGCACCAAGCTGAGCTAAACCAATCTGTGACGAGCCCAAAACGTTTCGTTCTGGTTTGACACGGGAAGTGTGAAGAGGGTGTCTCTGTTGAACTGAAGTCCCAATACATGATAGCTCAGCTGGTAGAGGATGGTGCTTTTGCAAGACCAGGATAGTGGGTTCGATTCCCGGGACCACCCATACGTAAAAAATGTTTTATGCACGCATGACTGTAAGTCGCTTTGGATAAAAGTGTTTTCTAAATGGCATTATTATTATTATTATTATAATTATTATTATTATTTCTACTATTATTATTATTACTACTATTTATTATTATTATTATGATGATGATCCATCAACCGCTCTTTCCAGCACACACCTCAGTGTTACATTCTCACAGTCGTTTTCCTGTCTGTCTGTCTGTCTGTCTGTCCCGTCTGTCTGTCTGTCTGTCCCCCCTCCCAGACCCTAGAGAAGAGGAACGTGGAGCTGAAGCAGAGTGAGGAGAAGGTGAAGGGGGCTAACTCTGAGCTGTGTACCAAGATGAGAGAGATGATTCAGGAGCTGGATCAGGAGAAGCAGGAGGCTGCCCAGAGGTCAGTCTGGGGTGTTGTGGCTGTCCACGTGAATACTGCACGTCTAACGTTGACATCTGACTCTTGCACTGTGTAAGACTTCTGATGTGCTGCATGTCAGATAAGTGAATATCTGTGTCTTGGCATCCTAGAGAGAGAATAGTTTTATCATCTCTATAGCTGGTGTGCAATATGACACAGAGAATGTCCTAATGGATACAAGTCATCACATGGGGAAAATAAGTGACTGTGCGGGTGTGTAATGACTCATGGCGTTACGACTGTACTGATGTGTGTGTTGTCCAGGTATGAGCGGACCCAGCAGCAGTTCAGAGATGACGTAGTGAACCGTGTTCGTTCTGAACTGGCCCTGGAACACACAGCACAGATGGATGACATCACAGCAGACCACCAGCTGCAGATACAACAGCTACAGTAAGGGCTGCTGTTGCTAAGAGCTTGGCCCTGGGGCTGCTGTTGCTAAGAGCTTGGCCCTGGGGCTGCTGTTGCTAAGAGCTTGGCCCTGGGGCTGCTGTTGCTAAGAGCTTGGCCCTGGGGCCGCTGTTGCTAAGAGCTTGGCCCTGGGGCCGCTGTTGCTAAGAGCTTGGCCCTGGGGCCGCTGTTGCTAAGAGCTTGGCCCTGGGGCCGCTGTTGCTAAGAGCTTGGCCCTGGGGCCGCTGTTGCTAAGAGCTTGGCCCTGGGGCCGCTGTTGCTAAGAGCTTGGCCCTGGGGCCGCTGTTGCTAAGAGCTTGGCCCTGGGGCCGCTGTTGCTAAGAGCTTGGCCCTGGGGCCGCTGTTGCTAAGAGCTTGGCCCTGGGGCCGCTGTTGCTAAGAGCTTGGCCCTGGGGCTGCTGTTGCTAAGAGCTTGGCTCGGTTGATAAGAGTGTGACGCCAGCAACGGCTTGGCCCTGGGGTCCAATTCTCGCAGGGATCACATGCGTACATTTTAGTCATTTATCAGACGCTCTTATTCAGAGCGACTTACAGGAGCAATTGGGGTTAAGTGACTTGCTCGTGGGCACGTCAACAGATTTTTTCACCTAGTCAGCTTGGGGAGTCGAACCGTCGACCTTTCGCTCTTAACCACTTGGCTACCTGTCGCCTGTAGGTCGCTGCCTGTCGCCTGTAGGTCGCTACCTGTCGCCTGTAGGTCGCTACCTGTCGCCTGTAGGTCGCTACCTGTCGCCTGTAGGTCGCTGCCTGTCGCCTGTAGGTCGCTACCTGTCGCCTGTAGGTCGCTACCTGTCGCCTGTAGGTCGCTGCCTGTAGGTCGCTACCTGTCGCCTGTAGGTCGCTGCCTGTAGGTCGCTGCCTGTCGCCTGTAGGTCGCTGCCTGTCGCCTGTAGGTCGCTACCTGTCGCCTGTAGGTCGCTACCTGTCGCCTGTAGGTCGCTACCTGTCGCCTGTAGGTCGCTACCTGTCGCCTGTAGGTCGCTACCTGTCGCCTGTAGGTCGCTACCTGCCGCCTGTAGGTCGCTACCTGTCACCTGTAGGTCGCTACCTGCCGCCCGCTACCTGTCGCCTGTAGGTCGCTACCTGTCACCTGTAGGTCGCTACCTGCCGCCCGCTACCTGTCGCCTGTAGGTCGCTACCTGCCGCCTGTAGGTCGCTACCTGCCGCCCGCTACCTGTCGCCTGTAGGTCGCTACCTGTCGCCTGTAGGTCGCTACCTGCCGCCTGTAGGTCGCTACCTGCCGCCCGCTACCTGTCGCCTGTAGGTCGCTACCTGCCGCCTGTAGGTCGCTACCTGTCACCTGTCGTCGCTACCTGTAGGTCGCTACCTGCCGCCGCATGTAAGTGGCCTTGAGTGAAAGTGTCTGCAATGCAGCAGATAAACCATACTCTGCTCTCTCAAACTACGTCAGGAACCGTTTGAGGTCTCCTGTATAACCTCATCTACAGTGACATCCTTTCTTCTCTGGACAGAGCCAAGCTGTGTGAGGCGACTGGGGAGATGGTGGCAGTACAGGAGTGTTACATCTCACTCTGCAAGGAGAAAGACAGGCTGGAGGAAAACCTGCAGGGAAGAATGGAAGAGGAGGAGGAAAGGAGACAGAAGGAGGTATATAGTCTAGTACACACACTTACATTTACATTTTAGTCATTTAGCAGACGCTCTTATTCAGTGCGTGCATACATTTTTCATACTGGCCCCCCGTGGGAATCGAACCCACAACCCTGGCGTTGCAAGCGCCATGCTCTACATGCTATATGAACAATAGCCTCGTCCCAGAACTAGTTGTGTTGTGTTGTCTTGTTGTTGTCTTGTGTTTGTTGTTGTGTTGTCTTGTCTACTCCTGTGTTTGTTGTCATGTGGAGTTGGCTGTAGAGCTAAATCAGGTCTGGAAACGGGCAAGGAACACTGGTGCAGAGAATGCCTTTTTATTTCTGTGAACTATTATTTGTATTTATTTTCTATATAAGACAAATAAGAAGTCTTCAGGGGAGCGACCACACTGAACAAGAGGAAGAAAACAACTAACAAATAAATGAAGAGAAGAGTCAGGAAGGGAAACACAGAACAGACAGCGTGTACACATCAGAACAGACAGCGTGTACACAGTATGTACACACATCAGAACAGACAGCGTGTACACAGTATGTACACATCAGAACAGACAGCGTGTACACAGTATGTACACATCAGAACAGACAGCGTGTACACAGTATGTACACATCAGAACAGACAGCGTGTACACAGTATGTACACATCAGAACAGACAGCGTGTACACAGTATGTACACATCAGAACAGACAGCGTGTATACAGTATGTACACACATCACAACAGACAGCGTGTATACAGTATGTACACACATCACAACAGACAGCGTGTATACAGTATGTACACACATCAGAACAGACAGCGTGTACACAGTATGTACACTCATCAGAACAGACAGCGTGTACACAGTATGTACACATGTAATGACCAAACATACGGACAGTGGCCTATAATAGCAGCCAAACATCCTAAAGAGGAGTATAAACTGGGTGGAATGCTCAGCCCTGAATGCTGATTGGCTGACAGCCGTGGTATATCAGACCGTATACCACGGGTATGACAAAATATTTATTTTTACTGCTCTGATTATGTTGGTAACCAGTTTTATAATGGCAATAAGGCACCTCTGGGGTTTGTGGTATATGGCCAATATACCACGGTTAAGGGCTGTGTCCAGGCACTCCGAGTTTGCGTCGTGCGTAAGAACAGCCCTTAGCCGTGGTATATTGGCCATATACCACAAACCCCCGAGGTGCCTTATTGCTTAAGTATCCTACATCACGTTCTGGGGGTACGTGATAGCCTTGGACCAGTTGGTTAGTGTCTCAATGCTAGCTCCATTCATTTTGGCAGTTGATCTTTCTACTATACATACGTCTTTGAACGTCTACTAAATGGCTTATTATTATTATTATTATTATTATAACGTTAGCACAGTGCAGTATTCGGTTCAAACCAGCTTTTGAACCAGTTGTTGAAGCTGCTAAGATTATTAGCTTTTCTTGAAAAGACGTAGAAATTTGGACTGTAACCAAAGAGCATGAAATATCTTATTGAGAACTTTTCCTAAGACGTCAACAACAACATATATATTTCCAAAGAGCTTCAGCAGTTATACAGTGCCAAAACATATGCATGTAGTTTCCTATAACAGAAAAGGAGCATTTATTACGTTGATCATTGTCCGCAAGCTTCAGTTTAAATCTACGCTCAGGAGCAGCAAGTAGCCTAGCGGTTAAGCCATTAACCGAAAGGTTGCTGGTTCGAATTCCTGAGCCTTCCAAGGTGAAAAATATATAGTCCTTGAGCAAGGCACTTAACCCTAATTTGCTCCAGGGGCGCCGTACTACTATGGCTGACCCTGTAAAACAACACATTTCACTGCACCTATACAGTGTACATGACAATAAAATATAAGGAAACACTTTTTTTTGTGCAGATATTAAATGTATCAGCTGATTGGAAATGTTTTTATTTTTATTTAAATGAAAATGTTGCTCCATAACATGGGCCAATTCCATTCGATACCGAGGCTCTCCAGGTCTCTTTCCCACATCATTGTGACAGCGGAGAGTGTTGACGCTGTGTGAAGATGACTTATTATGAATTAGGGACAACATTTCAGTCTTTCTGGTAGAGGAAATCAACTTTACATGAGGGTTGGGAGCCTGGACATGCATCCCATGGGACACCATAGGTTTTCATAGCTGTACGTAGTTTGAGGTAGAAAAACCGTTATGAGCCGGGGATAGAATAAGTGTCCTTCAGATCTTGTAAAGATGGAAGACCCTGTTGGTTGAAGATATCATTTCAAAATGGGGTTTAGGTGGTGGGCGTGACCAATGGTGCAAACATTTTAGAGGCCTTCCTGTTGGCCGCAGTGACAAAATGTTGCTGTTTTTAAAGCCAACTTCCTGCAATTCTACACATTTTGTCATGAGGCTGAGAGAGAAATGTGCAATTTTAAAGCACATTTCCTGCAATTCTACAGAAGCTATTGCAGTTGAAGCATGCAGAGATTTGGCCGGTATGATGTAGCTTTGCGATAAAGTCGCTCTCACTACACTGGAAGTTAATAGGAATACGACTTTTAGGTCATACAGGCCGATGTCGTCATAACGCGGGAGGATGTCTTCTCTCGAATGAGCCATTTATCATATTTTTGCGGTATTCCTCCCTCGAGAATTGTGTCATTTAACAGAGGCTCCACCACATTTTTTCCTATTTGTCTGCCTCTTCAGTCCAGGGTGCATTGCAGGGTGCCGTTGTGAATGTCAGACTCCACTCTGCGAGGCACATCGATCTGCAGGTTGAACGTGGTGAGATTGTAGACTCCTAAATTGATAGTGCAGTTTGTTTAGGTGATTTTACAGCTAACTAGCTACGCTACATGCTGATATTGTCTTGGGTATTATTGTGTGTAGCTATATTTGCTAACTAACCAGCTAGCCAGCCAGCCCATAGAGAGAGCATTGCATTGTGGGTTTTGTAGTCAACTTGAGCTTCAACAGATTTTCACAGCTGTTTTCACATGTTGCTACCAACCTTATTATAACGACAAAATGAAACATTTGTTCACAAAAAATATTGTTCTCACATGTTAGTGTTATTTAACAGTGTAAATTAGGGGAATTAGTAGTTTTGAGTGGATTTTTCCTTTAAAAGCTCTCAGCTGGAATGCCCAATAGTAATATCTGAAGTTGGGCAAAGAAATGCCACCCAACTTTTTTGGACGTGTTAAAGTGGAAAGGCTGATTTCAGGACCTTTCTCATTCCAAATTAAGTTTCTGAGCAAGGCATCAATGTCCTTAAAGAAGTTAAGAGGGTGTGAAAGAGGAAGCGTTGCATTTTTTTTTATTGATGCAGGGTAGAATCGAAAACAATTTGACCGACACTCAGGGGGGACCAATTATTTAAATCTCTCTTGGATTTTAACGAGGGATGCACTAACGTTGTCACCAATGATTGAGGGTGGGTGGGTGGGTGGGTCTGATCTGTAATGCCCAGGTAAGTAAAGCCGGGACATTCAAGAGACAGGCAATGATGGTAAATTGACTTCTTTGTCTGTGGCGTTTAATGACATTGAGATAGACTTAGACCAATTAATCTTGTAGCTCGTAAAATAACCAAATCCTTCAAAGACGCCAAGGACTTGAACAGAGTCGGCAATGTCAGATAGGTACATCAAAATGTAATCAATGTAAAGGGAGATGTTCATTTGATTTAATATAGGCGATATATATATATACTGATGTTCCCTAACAGCCTGCGCTAGAGGTTCTAGTGAGACCGCAAATCGGCTCGGAGAAAGCGGGCAACCCTGTTTCGTACTCCTATGCAATTCAAACTCAGGCGGACCCATGGCATGTTTGAACGCGTGCAGAGGGACCAGTGTAATAACTGGATAACTGAGGGTCCGAAGTCAAACCGCTTCAAAACTGCTAATAGATAGTCCCACTCCACACGGTCCAAGGCCTTCTCTGACAGCATCCAAATAACAGGCTGCAGCCTGCTGCTGAACAGCGTCAATATGTAGTAAATTGACGGCCCTTTACGAAGCCCGCCTGGTCCGGATCACTAGGGATGAAATACAAGTGTCCGATCTTCTTGACAGAACCTTCGCATGCAGCTTGAAATCACAATTCAAAATTGACAAGGGCCTTTAGCTGGAATGTTCCAAAGGGCCTTTAGCTGGAATGTTCCAAAGGGCCTGGAGCTGGAACGTTCCAAAGGGCCTGGAGCTGGAATGTTCCAAAGGGCCTGGAGCTGGAATGTTCCAAAGGGCCTTTAGCTGGAATGTTCCAAAGGGCCTTTAGCTGGAATGTTCCAAAGGGCCTTTAGCTGGAATGTTCCAAAGGGCCTTTAGCTGGAATGTTCCAAAGGGCCTTTAGCTGGAATGTTCCAAAGGGCCTGGAGCTGGAATGTTCCAAAGGGCCTTTAGCTGGAATGTTCCAAAGGGCCTTTAGCTGGAATGTTCCAAAGGGCCTTTAGCTGGAATGTTCCAAAGGGCCTTTAGCTGGAATGTTCCAAAGGGCCTGGAGCTGGAATGTTCCAAAGGGCCTGGAGCTGGAATGTTCCAAAGGGCCTGGAGCTGGAATGTTCCAAAGGGCCTGGAGCTGGAATGTTCCAAAGGGCCTGGAGCTGGAATGTTCCAAAGGGCCTGGAGCTGGAATGTTCCAAAGGGCCTGGAGCTGGAATGTTCCAAAGGGCCTGGAGCTGGAATGTTCCAAAGGGCCTTTAGCTGGAATGTTCCAAAGGGCCTTTAGCTGGAATGTTCCAAAGGGCCTTTAGCTGGAATGTTCCAAAGGGCCTTTAGCTGGAATGTTCCAAAGGGCCTTTAGCTGGAATGTTCCAAAGGGCCTTTAGCTGGAATGTTCCAAAGGGCCTGGAGCTGGAATGTTCCAAAGGGCCTGGAGCTGGAATGTTCCAAAGGGCCTGGAGCTGGAATGTTCCAAAGGGCCTGGAGCTGGAATGTTCCAAAGGGCCTGGAGCTGGAATGTTCCAAAGGGCCTGGAGCTGGAACGTTCCAAAGGGCCTGGAGCTGGAACGTTCCAAAGGATCTTTACCAATTTTTAGAAGGGAAATAAGGGCTGTTTTCTGATCTCTGTGAAAAGTTCCCAGCTCAAGCGGATAATTAATTGAGAATGGCTTTTGACGATTTGTGTCCTATTCTCAGCTGAAAACTCTAGAGGAGAGCAGAGCTGCTCTGGAGAAGCTGAGATCAGACCTGGAGAGCCAGCATCAGGAGACTGTCACCAAGCTCCGAGCCCTGTGGGCTGAAGAGAAGGACGAGGAGGTCAGACAACAGGTCCAAACCCAGCTGACCAAGTCCAAGGCTACATGGAGGGAGGAGAAGGAGAAGGTAGGAGTTGTCTTGTTGTGTTCCATCTGCAGCTAGCTCTTCTTGCTTTATGAGTGTATCAGTACTGCCCCCCATGGACAAAAAAATCTAATCAAAGTTTTTATTTGTCATATGCACAGGAGACAGCCAAAGACAGTACAGTATGAAGATGAGCAGAAACAGCTTCTCCAATAGAAATCCCAGATCACCTTTTATAGGCGATGTTCACAGCGACGTTAGCTAGCTAAGCTCATGCGCAGAAACACGTCATCTGGTCTAACGGTCGTGTCGCGCAGATATAAAGTTTTTGACAAAAAATTTAAACGTGTCAGGTTGTCACTTTCACGAGGGTGTAGTAACAACATGTTCAACTACTGAAGATATTGGCTCCAATCTATAGGTCATGCCTTTAATCTATAGGTCATGCCTTTAATCTATAGGTCAGGCCTTTAATCTATAGGTCAGGCCTTTAATCTATAGGTCAGGCCTTTAATCTATAGGTCAGGCCTTTAATCTATAGGTCATATCTTTAATCTATAGGTCATGCCTTTAATCTATAGGTCATGCCTTTAATCTATAGGTCATGCCTTTAATCTATAGGTCATGCCTTTAATCTATAGGTCATGCCTTTTAATCTATAGGCCATGCCTTTAATCTATAGGTCATGCCTTTAATCTATAGGTCACGCCTTTAATCTATAGGTCACGCCTTTAATCTATAGGTCATGCCTTTAATCTATAGGTCATGCCTTTAATCTATAGGTCAGGCCTTTAATCTATAGGTCATGCCTTTAATCTATAGGTCATATCTTTAATCTATAGGTCACACCTTTAATCTATAGGTCACGCCTTTAATCTATAGGTCAGGCCTTTAATCTATAGGTCATGCCTTTAATCTATAGGTCATGCCTTTAATCTATAGGTCATGCCTGACCGCAAGGCACTACAGAGGGTAGTGCGTACGGCCCAGTACATCACTGGGGCAAAGCTCCCTGCCATCCAGGACCTCTATACCAGGCGGTGTCAGAGGAAGGCCCTCAAAATTGTCAAAGACTCCAGCCACCCTAGTCATAGACTGTTCTCTCTGCTACCGCACGGCAAGCGGTACCGGAGTGCCAAGTCTAGGTCCAAAAGACTTCTCAACAGCTTCTACCCCCAAGCCATAAGACTCCTGAACAGCTAATCATGGCTACCCGGACTATTTGCACTGCCCCCCCACCCCCATCCTTTTTACGCTGCTGCTACTCTGTTAAGTATTTATGCATAGTCACTTTAACTCTACCCACATGTACATATTACCTCAACTACCTCAACTAGCCGGTGCCCCCGCACATTGACTCTGCAACGGTACCCCCCTGTATATATAGCCTCCCTACTGTCACTTTATTTTACTTCTGCTCTTTTTTTCTCAACACTTTTTTGGTTGTTGTTTTATTCTTACTTTTTTTGTTTAAAATAAATGCACTGTTGGTTAAGGGCTGTAAGTAAGCATTTCACTGTAATGTCTGCACCTGTTGTATTCGGCGCATGTGACCAATAAAATTTGATTTGATTTGATTTAATCTATAGGTCATGCCTTTAATCTATAGGTCATGGCTTTCATCTATAGGTCATGCCTTTAGATCTATAGGTCATGCCTTTTAGATTTCGAGAAAATTAACAACTAAGGAATAATATTTGACTTCTACCATTGACTTGCCAAACCGGGGTCTGGTCTGTCGAGTCTGCTTCGTGACACGTTCCTCAAAGTATCGTGATGTAGCGCCTCTGGGTTTGGAAACTCTGACACAGCTGGGTGTAAAAGGTACAATGAAATGCTTACTTGCGAGCTTTCCCCAACAGTGCAGTGAAATGTGTGTATATATACAGACATAAATTAATCAGGCCCTAATCTATGGATTTCACATGACTGGGCCTGGGAGGACATAGGCCCACCCATTGGGGAGCCAGGCCCAGCCAATCAGAATGAGTTTTTCCCCACAAAAGGGCTTTATTACAGACAGAAATACTCCTCAGTTTCATTAGCTTTCGGGTGGCTGGTCTCAGACGATCCCACAGGTGAAGATGCCGGATGTGGAGGTCCTGGGCTGACGTAGTTACACGTGGTCTGCGGTTGTGAGGCCGGTTGGACGTACTACCAAATTATCTAAAACGACGTTGGAGGCGGTTATTGGTAGAGAAATGAACATTCAATTATCTGGCAACCGCTCTGGTGGACATTCCTGCAGTCAGCATGTCAATTGCACTCTCCCTCAAAACTGCGAGACATCTGTGGCATTGTGTTGTGTGACAAAGCTGCATATTTTAGAGTTGTCCCCAGCACAAGGTGCATCTGTGTAATTGATCATGCTGTTTAATCAACTTCTTGATATGCCACACCTGTCAGGTGGATGGATTATCTTGGCAAAGGAAAAATGCTCACTAACAGGGATGTAAACAAATTTGTGTAGCAAATTTGAGAGAAATAAGCTTTTTGTGCATATGGAAAATCTCTGTGATCTTTTATTTCAGCTCATGAAACATGGGACCAACACTTTACATGTTGCGTTTTATATTTTTGTTCAGTGTATATATAAAAACAAATAGAACAGTAAGACAAATACAATACTGTCAATAAAAAATAAAGTAATCAAGCATGAAAGATTTATTGAAAAATATACAGAATGTACTATGAATATAGTACGTCAGATATAATAGTAGACTAGAGGTGCAGATCTGTGATCATCAGGGTTATGTTTTATTGGGGGAATTCCTGCATTTGACCTTCCCCTCCTAAACCAATACGTTATGCTACTTTTCTTGATGTTCTATTATTGAGTACGGTTACATGCACACAATAATACGATTTAAATGTTTACATGCATTTTAACCTAAAAATCGTATTTACATGGACACATCTGAAATCAAGCTACCTGATGGGACATTTGATAAATGCAGAAAATCGGCAATTAAAATAAAGGTTCTACCACAGCGACCATGTTGTTTTTGGGAAGCATATTTGATTCTGAGTTCGGACATATAAAGTTTGTATGTGAACTGTTTCTAAGATGCATACTTTCAGTTTTTCCGAACTCATAACTTGACTCGCGCATAAGAGGGAGGCTCGCTGGGCTGGTGCTGCCACATGCGTAGATCAAATACACAGCTGGAACACCCATTTTTAAGCTGTTTACGTGTCCTAATAATTTGAAAGATTGCTCAGAAAACCAGGTGTTTTAATCAAGTGTATGCTTACTCCGATTATGACCGTACGCCGATTTAAGATAAGAAGATTAAGGTGTTTACATGACTAATGCCATACTCTGCCTTCTGCGATTAATCCAGTTTAATACCAAATTATTAGTGTGCATGTAAACATTCTCATTGTCCCGATCACATCCCTGGATAATATATCTCTATGGTTTTCCCTCCTCTGTCCTGTGAAGACTGAGAGGTACTGGGCTCAGAGGTTAGAGGCAGCCGTAGCAGACGCCAGAAGACCGAGACCCACAGACACCCAGGAGTCTTCCTCTCAGACAGACCTCACTGCGGAGGAGAAGGCCTGTCAGACATCCAGCCCTGAGGAGACCAAGGCTGCTCCAGGCTGCAGTATGGAGGAGCTGGACACCAGGTCTTTTACGCATTTTATTCTGTTGAAATTGTGTTATTGTAGTGATTTCATTTCTTCATGACAATCTATGGTTGTAAATTGTGTACAAATCAGTCTGATTGATTGACTTACTTGACTTAAGCCCTTGGCTCCAATGAGAAGCATAGGATGTCTATGACTGTGAACAACCAATAAACACTACTACTACTACTACTACTACTACTACTACCAATACTACTACTACTACGACTACTACTACACTACTACACTAACACGACTACTACTACTACTACCACACCACACCACTACTACTACCACCACCACACTACTAAACTACTACACTACTACCACTACTAATACTACACGACTACTACTACACTACTACTACCACACCACTACTACTACTACCACTCACTACACAACTACTACGGTACACTACTATTACTACTACTACTACTACCACTACACTACACTACTATACACGACTACGACGTACTACTACTACTAACTACTACTACTAACTACTACTAACTACTACCAATACTACTACTACTACACTACTACTACTACTACTATACTACTACTACCACTACTACTATGACGACTATACTACTAGACACAACTACACGATACACTAACGACTACTACTACTACATACTACGACTACGACTACTACTACTACTACCAATACATTACTACCACTACTACTACATACTACTACTACTACTACTACTACCAATACTACTACTACTGGTACTACTACTACTGACTACTACTACTACTACTACTACTACTACTACTACTACCAATACTACTACTACTGGTACTACTACTACTACTACTACTACTACTACTACCAATACTACTACTACTGGTACTACTACTACTAACTACTACTACTAACTACTACAGGCTCCGGGAACAGAGGCTCCAGCTGCAGCGAGAGGCAGACACGGCACGACGCAGGGCAGTGGAGGATGCTGGGAAACGAGTCCAGAAAGAACTACAGGAGAAACACCTGGAGGACATGGCCAAACAGGTCAGGGGAGGGACCATTTTTAATCAAGTCTTCTGTCTGAATCATATGTATTCATCTTTTAGTTATACAGGTGATCACATCGCCATGTTTTTTTCATGGGAGAGGCCTATCCACTTGTGAGGTGTGTTTTAATGTGAAATCAAATGACTGTGTCGTGGCTTTTCTGGGTCAGTAGTATTGATGGTGCTTCTTGAGTATGAGGGGTCCCTGGTTGGAGCCCAGGTCGGGACAGGAAGGGAGGGATCTACTCTGTAACGTTGGAGCCTTAGTGACCATCACAGAGCTGGGCCCCTGATCTAGGATCAGGTCTGGGCCCGTATTCATAAAAGCGTCTCAGAGAAGTAGTGCTGGGGTGTAGTCATTCGTCCAAAACCTTTTGCTATGGAAACCGTTTACTCCAAACTGAAAACTTGTTGCAACGAAAACGTGTTTCTATTGGACACATTCAGGGACACTGTATATACAAAATTATGTGGACACCCCTTCAAATTAGTGGATTCGGCTATTTCAGCCACACCCGTTGCTTACAGGTGTATACAATCGAGCACACAGCCATGCAATCTCCATAGACAAACATTGGCAGTAGAATGGCCTTACTGAAGAGCTCTGTGACTTTCAACATGGTACAGTCATAGGATGCCACCTTTCCAACAAGTCAAATTTCTGCCCTGCTAGAGCTGCCCCGGTCAACTGTAAGTGCTGTTATTGTGAAGTGGAAACGTCTAGGAGCAACAACGGCTCAGCCGTGAAGTGGTAGGCCACACAAGCTCACAGAACGGGACCACCGAGTGCTGAAGACCGTAGCGCGTAAAAATCATCTGTCCTCGATTTCAACACTCACTACCGAGGCCCAAACTGCCTCTGGAAGCAACTTCAGCACAATAACTGTTAGTCCGGAGCTTAATGAAATGGGTTTCCATGCGCAATGCCAAGTGTCGGCTGGAGTGGCGTAAAGCTCGCCGCCATTGGACTCAGGAGCAGTGGAAACGTGTTCTCTGGAGTGATTAATCACGCTTCACCGTCCGGCAGGCCGACGGACGAATCTGGGTTTGGCGGATGCCAGGAGAACGCTACCTGCCCGAATGCATAGTGTCAACTGTAAAGTTTGGTGGAGGAGGAATAATGGTCTGGGGCTGTTTTTTCATGGTTCGGGCCCCTTAGTTCCAGTGAAGGGAAATCTTAACGCTACAGCATACAATGACATTCTAGACCAGGGGTGTCAAACTCATTTTAGCTCAGGGGCCACATGGAGGAAAATCTATTCCCAAGTGGGCCGGACCGGAAAAATCATGGTATATATAACTTAAAAACAACAACTTCAGATTGTTTTCTTTGTTTTAATACGATCAACATACAACATAAAGCTGGAGCCTGAGGACAGTGTGTCCAAAATAGTACAAGCACAACATCACTATTAATCATAAAACACGTCAAGTTTATTTGAAAATTCTAAAGAAAAAGAACACACAAACACACAATGCCTCAGTGATTAACAGAACTGTTTCACAGATCACAGAACTATATCAGGGTGTCATTTCTCAGGCAGAAATGTAGATAAAAATAATGAAATCCTGTTCCCCAAACAAGTGCAAGAACCACAGAGTCAAGAATAGGTTAAATATACAAATAAAATAAAATCAATTAAAAACAATAGCACATCAACATAAAAACATATAAACATAAATCTGAAAGCATTGCTCAAACTCCCGTAACAGTCCAGTTATTTTATCTTTGAACCGCTTCATGTCTGCCACATGTTGGGTCGCGCACACATTTTTCAGACAGGGGAAGTGAGCTGCATCACCACCGGCAAGTTGCGTCTCCCACAATGACAGCTTCAACTTGAAAGAACGTATGCTGTCATAATACTGCGTGACAACTTTGTTGCGCCCTTGCAGCTGTTTGTTCAAGTTATTCAGGTGCTCTGTAACATCCACCATAAATGCAAGGTCCGGCATCCATTCTGCGGAATGAAATTCTAACACTGGTTTGCCCTTTTCTTCCATGAACTGTTCAATTTCTTCTCGTAAATCAAAGAAACGCCTCAGCACAGCACCTCGGCTTAACCATCTTACCTCAGTGTGGTATGGCAGGCCATAGATGTGGTCTTTCTCTCTGAGAAGGCTGTCAAACTGACGGTGATTCAGGCTTCTGGATCGGATGAAATTAACAGTTTGGATGACCACCTTCATGACGTTATCCATCTTTAATGACTTGCAACACAAAGCCTCCTGGTGCAAAATACAGTGAAAAGTCAAAAAAATCACATCCTCCATTTGCAGATTGCACTTTCTCTCTGAACTTTGTCACAACGCCTGCTTTTTTCCCGATCATTGAGGGCGCACCATCTGTAGCCAGGCTGACAGCGCGGGACCAGTCCACTCCGACCCTGTCCAGCGCGCCGACGAGTGCGGTAAAAATATCAGCTGCTGTCGTTGTATCTGTCATCGGCACCAACTCCACGAACTCCTCGGTGACGGTCAATGTGTCATCAACTCCGCGGATGAAAAAATGGCCAGTTGTGCAACATCTGTAATGTCCGTGCTTTCATCAATTGCAACCGAAAACGCAATAAATGACTTTACTTTTTGCTTCAACTGGCTGTCCAAATCCACTGAAAGATCGGAAATCCTGTCTGCAACTGTTTCTTGTCAGGCTGATATTTGCAAAAGCCTGCCGCTTTTCAGGGCACACAATCTCCGCTGCCTTCATCATGCATGTTTTTACAAATTCACCCTCACTAAATGGTTTTGAAGCCACTGCGATTTCATTAGCAATGAGGTAGCTAGCTTTCACTGCAGCGTCACTGATGTCTCGGCTGTGAGTAAACACAGACTGCTGTTTCTTCAGACCCGCCAACAGTTCATTCACCTTCTCTCATCTCCGCTGTCCTTGAAAGTTGTCATATTTGTCGGCATGAAGACTCACATAGTGGCGACGAAGGTTATATTCTTTCAGCACTGCAACATGCTCTGAACACACCAAACATACAGCTTTCCCATTCAATTCCGTGATTAAATAGGATGACAATTTTTCTTGGAACACTCTGCACTCTGCGTCCACTTTTCTCTTTTTTGACAGAGACATATTGGGGCAATGAGGGTGCCAAAGCACATAATGTTAAAAGTAGAAGCCGTAATAAATATCGCGGGCAAAACAAAGTAGGTCATTGGCTGCACGTGCTTGACCTACTTGCTCTGCCCCGGTATAAACAGTTTGCTTGCTTAACACAATTGCTATTGCGCCATCCAGTGGACTCAATTGGAACAGCAGTTTATTTTTATTGAAAAATTGCAGCGCATTTTTATACTTAAAAAAAAAAAAAACACCCCTGTTCTAGACGATTCTGTGCTTCCAACTTTGTGGCAACATGTTTCTGCATGACAATGCCCCGTGCACAAACCGAGGTCTATACAGAAATGGTTTGTCGAGATCTGTGTGGAAGAACTTGACTGGCCTGCACAGAGCCCTGACCTCAACCCCATCGAACACCTTTGGGATGAATTGGAACGCCGACTGCGAGCCAGGCCTAATCGCCCAACATCAGTACCCGACCTCACTAATGCTCTTGTGGCTGAATGGAAGCAAGTCCCCGCAGCAATGTTCCAACATCTAGCGGAAAGCCTTCCCAGAGGAGTGGAGGCTGTTATAGCAGCAAAGGGGGGGGACCAACAATATATTAATGCCCATGATTTTGGAATGAGATGTTCGACGAGCAGATGTCCACATACCTTTGGTCATGTAGTGTATGTCCTTCCCGGTTTGGTTCCATTTGGTTCTGTTTTGGTTCCTAGTGAATACACCCCTGATCTGGGATCAGGTCTTCCCCTTTCTCCATGTAATCTTATTCATTATGATCTAAAAGGCTAAACTGGTCCTAGATCAGCCCTCCTGCTCTGAGAGACTTGGTGAATGTCTCTCTGATTTTTTTGTCTCTTCCTACAGGTTGAAGGGGCAGTAACCAGAGGCTACAGCCGCTGGCTCCAGGACCTCCCCTCCCTGCCGGAGTACAAGGCAGCGCTCCAGAGAGAGCGGGAGAACTGGGAGAGTGAACAGGAGAAACATGTTCAACAACAGGTACAGCTGTGTGTCACTGTGTTCGTGTCTGAATCAGTCTGTGATGTTGCTTTTATATTGGGGACCACCACTCATCTTTTTGGCAAAGTTTCTACAGTATTTAACATCTAAACGATGAATGAATTGAAAGATTAGCGGTGAAATGGTCCTTTTTAACTAACTTCATCCCAGTAGTCGGATGGTAACAAAACGTAGCACTTCTTCTGCTTCACTCCAAAGCACCTTGTAGTTGTAGTTTCTCTCTGCTTGTGTCAGGTGTCCCTAGCCCTGAGGGCAGCAGAGGAGAGGTGGCAGGAGGAGAGGCTGAGGAGTTCAGAGGAGGAGGAGCAGGGAGGAGCAGGAGGAGACCAGAGGGTTGAGGAGCTCCAAGAAGAGGTGCAGCGTTGGAGGCAGCTGGAGGAGGACCTGAAGACGGAGGTGGAGGAGGTGGCACATCTGCAGAGCCAGGTGGATGATCTGCAAAGCCAGCTAGGCCGTGAGAGGGAGGATAAGGCTGCCCTGCTGGAGGCCGAGCTACTTGCAGCCAGAGCCTCCTGGAGCAGAGACAAACAGCAGGAGATCTCCTCCCTGCAGATCTTCCAGGAGGAGCAGCTGAAACAGGCGCAGAAGGAGGCGCGGAAGGAGGCCAATGGGGAGCTGGAGCGCCAGAGGAAGGAGCTCCTCTTGCAGAAGGAGGCTGAGCTGCAGCAGGCTCTGAGGGACCGAGAGGAGGACTGGAAGAGCCAGGAGGAGAGGAGGGGCCAGGTGGAGAGGAGGCAGGGCAGAGAGGAGGCACGGGAGGAGGTGCTCCAGGAGCTTAAGGCTGGGCTGAAGGAGGTGCAGGCTGTGCTCCTCAGAGGAGGAGCCCACAAAGAGAAGGAAAACAAAGGAGAGGTGGAGGGGAGGAGGAGAGCCAGCGGGAGCGTCGGAGAACTCCTCATGTCTACCTGTAAAGACCTTCTCCTTAAAGCTGTAGCCCAGGCAAAGAAGGAGTGGAAGAAGGTGGCGCTCTCTCTCTCTCTGTCTCTCTCTCTCTCTCTCTCTCTGTCTCTCTCTCTGTCTCTCTGTCTCTCTCTCTCTCTGTCTCTGTCTCTGTCTCTCTCTCTCTGTGTCTCACACACTCACACACACACACACACACATATATATATATATATTCTACCGTCAGTGTGATAACTAGTATCATTAGACTTTAGAGCTGTGACCTGGAAGCAGGGCTACCACTGTGTTAAGATACTGTATTGTGTAAGACATTGATAGTTGAATCTGACTAATACTTATTTCATGTTGTTCTCCAGATCAGTGAGGAGAGGCTTGGCCGGGTGCTGAAGGAAACTCAAGAGCGCCATGAGAAAGAACTCAACCAGATTCATAGTATGTTTCTTCTCAAGTCTTCTCTATTCACTGTGAATGGAATAATATGGCACTTAGCAGACCCTGTTATCCACAGAAACCTACAGTACAATGAGTGTGTATGTGATCTCAGCGGGAATTGAACCCCCCAATTTTGAAGAATACATAAAATGCCTGAAGTGAGAGCAAAAACCTTTTTTAAGTAGGATTTCATATGATGTGTTGTTCTTCCGCCTACTCAGGCTCCACTGCTCAGACGAGAGAAGAGGGTGGTTGTGGGAAGCGGTGTGCTGAGACCGTGACCAAGCTGCAGAAGCAGAGTCAGGACCTCCAGAGGCATCTAGAGAAGGCCTGCAGACAGCTACAGACGACCGTCAAGGACCACAAGGCCTCCATGCAGTTCCTCAAAGGTAAACTCCCTGTTGAATCCCAAATCAACCCCATGGCTCCTATTCCTTAGGCCAGTGGTTCTTCATCCTGGACCTGGGGACTCAAAGGAGTGCACTTTTTTTTTTTTTTTTTTTTTTTTTTTGCCCATAGCGCTACAGAGCTGATTTCAAATGAGCAACTCATCATCAAGGTTTGATTATTTGAATCAGCTCTGTAGGGTTATGGGCAAAAAAAACCAAAAGGTGCACCCCTAGGGGGGGGCCCAAGGACCACGTTTTGGAAACACTGCCATAGGTACTTAGTAGACGTCTACAGATCTAACAGGACTCGATAGGGATACACTGTTTGGAAAATCTTTCACCTAGCCTGTCAAAGGGAAAAGGAGAAATATGACTATACTGCTTACATTATTTAGATCTGAAAGAATTGGTTCGACGTGCCCAGGTTGTAGGGGCTAGGGGTAAACTACTTGACTGGTCATGACGGTCATTCTGACCATTTTTGATATTTCAATTGTGTAAATATTCCATAATAAATTGCTAAATGAATGCATTTATTACGTTAAAATAGGTTATAAGAAACCTGTAATCAGTCAGAAAATGTATTGATTGATCCAGAAGCGCATAGACTGTAATTATTCAAATAAGACGGTAGGGTATTTTCTGTCTGTAAGACAACAGTTGCCTGCCCAGCTGGTCCGTCCTAAACTAATATTCAAACTAATACAAATAGTTGTGGTCTAAAGACAACATTAAACTGACAATAGTGTGATGGGAGACAATATTATCAAATCGAGAAGGAAGAGACTGATGACCAGCGCAGCGTGCGTTGACGAAGATGGGAACTGAGCTAAGCAAATAGCACTTCTTCCATATCATCCCACAGAGGTCCATGCAGGCCAGATGTTCTGATCGCTATACCCTGAAAATCGGAATATCTGAAAGAGCAGATTCCAAAGTTTATAATTAACCTATTATTTTTTTTTGCCAAACAACTCTACAAATTGCTTGGATGGTCTCTGTCAAATATCTCATTGCTAAAATACCCGAGGCGCCACACACACGTTCCTCGTGTGAGCACTGGCGACAATCGACGTTAGCCATTTGGAGAAAAAAATATCCTTTCTATTTTCTTCTGTTATATTCCATTATAGTCTTACTTTTTATGACCTTCCTAAACAAAATATTAATGGATTTCTATGTGATTGTGTATATTAAATTGATTTATTAGACTGGCGGCTATTGGTACTCGTCAAGGCCCGGGCTATTCTACTGTTAAATATGCATACAGTCATTCTTACCGTCATGGCACTTTGAGGAGGAAATGCTCAATTTTTTTTGTATTTTATGATATTTAACTAAAAGTACTGCTAGAGTGTAAAATATACATATTTAGAAAAAGTCAGGGACGGGTGGGTTCAAGGTTTTTAATTTAAATGAAGTTATTGAAATTACAAAATTGAAGACGGTCAAATTTGACCGTCTTGGCGGTTCTAGTGTTAAGGGTCACAAAAAGGATTGCATCAAGTGATAAATTGACCATCTATTGGCTGAGTGTGAGTCTAATTCCGTGTCCTCCCTCGCCTCCTCCCCCCCCACCCCCCACCCCACCTCCCTCCCTCTATTTGTAGATGAGCATGAGGTGACCCTACGGAAAGAGAAAGAGGACAACCTGCAGAAACTGGAGGAATTGAAAAGATCTGCAGCCAAAGAATCCTCCGGGTACGTAAACATGTCTTTTGACTCATCCATATTGAATATCTCTAGTCGGATGCGAAGTCACTGGTTACCAAATTCATGTTCTAAATGAATAAATGTTCACTGCAGGAGTTCAGACATGGAGCGGAGTCTCCATGTTGGCCTTGAAGAGATGAGGGAACAGTACATGAAAGCTGTTGAGAAAATCAGAGGTGAGAGAAATATACCAGGACTTTAGCTACAGGGCTGTAAGGAAACCCACCCCAGTTGAAGTGTGAATGGTCTTCGATGATGGACATGCTGCAGGCCTCTCCTCATGTACCGTGGTGTTTTGTTCTCCAGGTGACATGCTGCAGGCCTCTCCTCATGTACCGTGGTGTTTTGTTCTCCAGGTGACATGCTGCAGGCCTCTCCTCATGTACCGTGGTGTTTTGTTCTCCAGGGGACATGCTGCAGGCCTCTCCTCATGTACCGTGGTGTTTTGTTCTCCAGGGGACATGCTGCAGGCCTCTCCTCATGTACCGTGGTGTTTTGTTCTCCAGGTGACATGCTGCAGGCCTCTCCTCATGTACCGTGGTGTTTTGTTCTCCAGGGGACATGCTGCAGGCCTCTCCTCATGTTTTTCCAGGAGGCCTCTCCTCATGATGTTTTGTTCTCCAGGGGACATGCTGCAGGCCTCTCCTCATGTACCATGATGTTTTTGTTGTCCAGGGGACATGCTGCAGGCCTCTCCTCATGTACCATGATGTTTGTTGTCCAGGGGACATGCTGCAGGCTGCTCCTCATGTGCCATGGTGTTTTGTTCTCCAGGGGACATGCTGCAGGCCTCTCCTCATGTACCATGATGTTTTGTTCTCCAGGGGACATGCTGCAGGCCTCTCCTCATGTACCATGATGTTTTGTTGTCCAGGGGACATGCTGCAGGCCTCTCCTCATGTACCATGATGTTTTGTTGTCCAGGGGACATGCTGCAGGCCTCTCCTCATGTACCATGATGTTTTGTTCTCCAGGGGACATGCTGCAGGCCTCTCCTCATGTACCATGATGTTTTGTTGTCCAGGGGACATGCTGCAGGCCTCTCCTCATGTGCCATGGTGTTTGTTTCCAGGGGACATGCTGCAGGCCTCTCCTCATGTACCCATGGTGTTTTGTTCTCCAGGGGACATGCTGCAGGCCTCTCCTCATGTGCCATGGTGTTTTGTTCTCCAGGGGACATGCTCCAGGCCTCTCCTCATGTGCCATGGTGTTTTGTTCTCCAGGGGACATGCTGCAGGCCTCTCCTCATGTCCCGTGGTGTTTTGTTCTCCAGGGGACATGCTGCAGGCCTCTCCTCATGTCCCGTGGTGTTTTGTTCTCCAGGGGACATGCTGCAGGCCTCTCCTCATGTCCCGTGGTGTTTTGTTCTCCAGGGGACATGCTCCAGGCCTCTCCTCATGTGCCATGGTGTTTTGTTCTCCAGGGGACATGCTGCAGGCCTCTCCTCATGTCCCGTGGTGTTTTGTTCTCCAGGGGACATGCTGCAGGCCTCTCCTCATGTCCCGTGGTGTTTTGTTCTCCAGGGGACATGCTCCAGGCCTCTCCTCATGTCCCGTGGTGTTTTGTTCTCCAGGGGACATGCTGCGCTATCTCCAGCAGAGTAAGGAGCGAGCGGCAGAGATGATCCGTGTCGAGGTGCTGAGAGAGAGACAGGACACAGCCAGGAAGATGAGACGCTACTACCTCGCCTGTCTACAGGAACTGCTAGAGGACGGGGGGCAGGCCACAGGGTATGCTGTTACAGGAAGGCCAATGCCCCGTCCAAAAGCAACCCCTAGTCCATAGACACCTGGTTTATATGGCAGCTCCGCCTTGACGTCTGATAGGCTGGTTTATGTAATATGGCAGCTCCGCCTTGACGTCTGATAGGCTGTGTGTATTTCATCCGATATTGCATACACCCGTCCAATCCTCTCAGATCTCTACCAGCGCCCGGCGGGTAGCGGCTAGGGGTTGATTTGGGATTGAGGCTTTCAGTAAGGCTAATGTATCCTTCCTTCCCCTTCAGGGCTGAGAAGAAAATCCTTAACGCTGCCAGTAAGCTGGCTGCTATGGCCAAGGTGTTGGAGACCCCTACCAAGAGGAAAAGGGGAAAGAGCCACAGCTTCCTGGGTAAGACATGTTGATTTAATACAAGATAAGGGGAAAGAGCCACAGCTTCCTGGGTAAGACATGTTGATTTAATACAAGATAAGGGGAAAGAGCCACAGCTTCCTGGGTAAGACATGTTGATTTAATACAAGATAAGGGGAAAGAGCCACAGCTTCCTGGGTAAGACATGTTGATTTAATACAAGATAAGGGGAAAGAGCCACAGCTTCCTGGGTAAGACATGTTGATTTAATACAAGATGAGAACAAATGGGGTACAGGGTCATCAAATGGAATCGTCCTTCTAGGACGTTTTTCACCGCCTTCTGTCTCTGCTTGATGTTTGGGGTCTGGGGTGGCTTACTGGAAAGGACTTTGTGACAACTGTTGATCAAAAAAAACAAGGGCTTTTAAAAATTAATCTGATTGTTCCAAATTATCTCTTGTATCAACAGGCTCGTCATCAAAGTCAGAGGCAGCTACTGACAACCATCCAGGTAACGCTTCAGGCTCTACCTCTAGTAAAACCCAATCTCCAGCTAGCCACCTCCCTGAGACCACCAGGTCCAGTGGAGGTGAGGGGAGGACCCTGAAGACCGAGATGTACTCTGACCCGGACTCCAACACCTCCTCAGCTGCAGTCAAGACCACCTGGACTACTAGGCCCGTGAGTAAACCCACCCACCAGGACCCCCTGACCAATGGAAAGGAGAAAGGAGCCCCTGCAAACACGGCAGGGAAACCCCATGTCTCTTCAGGACTCTTCCTCTCACTTCCTCCTCACAAAACCTCTCATCAAATTGGTCAAACCTCCCCTGACTGTTACCATGGTGATTTTACTAACATTACTCTGAGGACCCAGACCAGCAGGGAGCTGTACCTGCAGGGGGCGGAGTCGGGGAGATCAGACGATGACAACTTCCTGTGTCACCGTAGTAACACTAAACCCTTCCTGGTCCAGGAGGAGCTTCCCGTTAGAGACGAAGGAGGATCGAGCGATTGGAGTTTGTCCAGTAATGGGTCCCAAGATGGCCGCCACGTCCTCGCAGTTTCCTCTTACCCGGGCAGAAAAATGGAAACTGTGAAACCGTTCTCTTTGCGTGGACCTTCTTCAGCTGATGACCTGGGTGATTTCGGTCGCCTCACCACTGACAACTCTGACATGACGGTTTACAAAGAGATTGTCAATGTTCAGTCTTGCGCCAAAGCCTCGACTTTCCCCAGTGTCCCGCCTCCGACCAAAGCTGTGACTCGGTCTGTCCCCAGTGTGAAGACCGGTAGTGGTAGATCCAGTCACAGAGAGCCTGTCCCTGACTCTGAGGGGGACCGGAAGAATCAGAACCGGTTCCAGAACAGACGGTGTTCTAAGAGTCAGTTCTCTGAGCTGAAGCGGAGTCAACAGCAGGACAATAGTTTTGACGGTCCATTCTCTCATCAGAAATAAGTGCGACGAGTCCAAAGACTCCTTTTTGGCAGTGTGGACTCACTCCTGTTCTTTTCAGAAATTTATAAAGGGAGGAAATGGACCAAGTGGAGATTTGAGTGAGTCTTGAATTTGTGTTTTGGTTCATCTTTTACATTTTAGTCATTTAGTAGACGCTCTTATCCAGAGTGACTTAAAGGAGCAATTGGGGTGAAGTGCCTTGCTCAAGGGCACATCGACAGATTTTTTTCACCTAGTCGGCTCGGGGATTCGAACGGTCTTAACCGCTAGGCTACCTGCCGCCCCACATGACATGATGTGGGAAATGACTGACGTAATCATTACTATGAGGTAATCATTACTATGAGGTAATCATTACTATGAGGTAATCGTAAGTTGCCACAAACGTGTTCAAGTAAACGTCATGTTCATGTGTGTTAGGAACAATAGTTGTGCTGTGCAGTGAATGTGCCTTTTAAAAAACGGATGAATACACAGTAGGAAACAAGCCTTGTGTGACTGGCTTCTTTCTAGTCAATGATTACCACATTTCTAAAACGTTACAGTTCTTCTGTGTGGCTGTTCTTTTAATGGATTTTTATTTTGTTTTTTTAAATTAAACTATATTATTATATCAAGGTTGTGAGATGCTGTGCATATAACAAAGTAAACATTTACATTTTAGTCATTTAGCAGACGCTCTTATCCAGAGCGACTTACAGTTAGCACATACATTATTTTATCGAACCCACAACCCTGGCGTTGCAAACGCCATGCTCTACCAACTGAGCTACATCCCCTGCCGGCCATTCCCTCCCCTACCCTGGACGACGCTGGGCCAATTGTGCGCCGCCCCATGGGTCTCCCGGTCGCTGCCGGCTACGACAGAGCCTGGATTCGAACCAGGATCTCTAGTGACACAGCTAGCACTGCGATGCAGTGCCTTAGACCACTGTGCCACTCGGGAGATTATTAAACTTCTTTATAATAATGTTGCTTTAATGTCATTTTATAATGTTAACTTTTTATCTTTCCTTGTTTATTTCTTACCGATATGGACTATGATAGAATTGTCATTATCAAGCATTCTGCATAAGGGTTCTATTAACTCATCACAGTGCAAAGTCTATTTCTGAGGAAAAATACGAATGAAAGGCACATTGCACCTCCTCGTGTCTTTGGACGTTCCACCACCACGCCTACCAGCACTGGTGGAAAAAGTACACAATTGTCATACTTGAGTAAAATTAAAGATACCTTTAATAGAAAATGACTTAAGTGAAAGTCACCCTGTAAAATACTACTTGAGTAAAAGTCTAAAAGTATTTGGTTTGAAATATACTTAAGTATCAAAAGTAAATGTAATTGCTAAAATATACTTCAGTATCAAAAAGTGAAAGTGTAAATAATGTCAAATTCCTTTATATAAAGCAAACCAGACAGCATTATTTTCTTTTGTTTTTTGAATTTACGGATAGCCAGGGGCACACTGCAACACTCAGACGTCATTTACAAACGAAGCATGTGTGTTTAGTGAGTCTGCCAGGTCAGAGGCCTGTAGGGTTGACCAGGGATATTCTCTCTTGATAAGTGTGTGAAGTGTGTAACGAGTACTTTTGGGAGTCAGGGAACATGTATGGAGTAAAAAGTACATCATCTTCTTTCGGAATGTATCGAAGTAAAAGTACAAGTTGTAAAAAAATATATATAAATACCCCCAAAAACTTTCAAGTATTTTTACGTAAGAGCTTTACATCACTGCCTACCATTCACTTACATTAAGTGAAATAAATTGTCCAAGTTAACTAATAATAAAAATATTATGCCATTTAGCAGACGCTTTTATCCAAAGCGATTTAGTCATGTGTGCATAAATTTTTTGTGTATGGGGTGGTCCTGGGGATCGAACCCACTACCTTGGCGTTACAAGCGCCGTGCTCTACCAGCTGAGCTACAGAGGACCACAACTGACAGCTAAGTGACAGCTAGGCCAATAGATTTGTCATTTAACGCACGTGCCAGTCTCACCTCCTCTCTAACCTAACCATGATATGGATAATACTTTAGGCTTTTATGCTTTTACTTGGATTTTTATTTGATAACTCTCCTTACTTTCTACATGATGTCCAATCCAATGCGTGATCAGGACCTCATTGATCGGATATCGTCTATCGAAAATCAGAACAACTACAGAATTCTAGATTGATTCTGTTGAGATTGATTCTTAGAATCTGTTGAGAGGCACAAACCATTCATTGTGTTTGAGGATAAATCACTCTGGTATTTGGACACGGATCATCAGAGTCTTGTTGCAGCGCAGTAACCTCAAAGCAGGGGATCAAGTTGCAGTTTTCTTGGGAAATGAGCCGTTTTTATCTGTGGATTTGGTTGGGATTGGTTAAAAAAAGGATGTTCCGCCACATTTCTGAACTTACAACATGAGATGATAATTATCATTGTTACATTGCTTTTCCAGCAGTGGAGCTAATGTATTGATTACAGCTAAAAGGTACAGTATGATCATTTATCTTCGAAATAGTATTTCGTAACTGCGCTTGGGATAGGCTTTGAATGGAAAAATCGTTTATGCATTTGCTTTACTGCAAGAATCTTTTTAAAACATGTACAATGTATGGATACTACAGTCTTTATCTAAACATTTTTAATTTCATTCTACCAGAGTTGAAAGAAGCGGTAGAGGAGATCTTGCTAACTTTGAGAGAACAGAACGTCTCTGTTTTCATCAAATGCACCACAAATGACGGGAGAACATTACCGACAAGACCAGACAAGCCTCACCTGAGCCAATACCAGCTAATGTCAAGTCGAAAGTCACATTTAATAGTCCTGCGTGGTACATCTTCACATCAGGCCACCGTCGCAGCATCTCATTGTTAATGTACAGTGGGGGGAAAAAAATTATTTAGTCAGCCACCAATTGTGCAAGTTCTCCCACTTAAAAAGATGAGAGAGGCCTGTAATTTTCATCATAGGTACACGTCAACTGTGACAGACAAATTGAGGGAAAAAAATCCAGAAAATCACATTGTAGGATTTTTTATGAATTTATTTGCAAATTATGGTGGAAAATAAGTATTTGGTCAATAACAAAAGTTTCTCAATACTTTGTTATATACCCTTTGTTGGCAATGACACAGGTCAAACGTTTTCTGTAAGTCTTCACAAGGTTTTCACACACTGTTGCTGGTATTTTGGCCCATTCCTCCATTCAGATCTCCTCTAGAGCAGTGATGTTTTGGGGCTGTCGCTGGGCAACACAGACTTTCAACTCCCTCCAAAGATTTTCTATGGGGTTGAGATCTGGAGACTGGCTAGGCCACTCCAGGACCTTGAAATGCTTCTTACGAAGCCACTCCTTCGTTGCCCGGGCGGTGTGTTTGGGATAATTGTCATGCTGAAAGACCCAGCCACGTTTCATCTTCAATGCCCTTGCTGATGGAAGGAGGTTTTCACTCAAAATCTCACGATACATGGCCCCATTCATTCTTTCCTTTACACGGATCAGTCGTCCTGGTCCCTTTGCAGAAAAACAGACCCAAAGCATGATGTTTCCACCCCCATGCTTCACAGTAGGTATGGTGTTCTTTGGATGCAACTCAGTATTCTTTGTCCTCCAAACACGACGAGTTGAGTTTTTACCAAAAAGTTATATTTTGGTTTCATCTGACCATATGACATTCTCCCAATCCTCTTCTGGGTCATCCAAATGCACTCTAGCAAACTTCAGACGGGCCTGGACATGTACTGGCTTAAGCAGGGGGACACGTCTGGCACTGCAGGATTTGAGTCCCTGGCGGCGTAGTGTGTTACTGATGGTAGGCTTTGTTACTTTGGTCCCAGTTCTCTGCAGGTCATTCACTAGGTCCCCCCGTGTGGTTCTGGGATTTTTGCTCACCGCTCTTGTGATCATTTTGACCCCACAGGGTGAGATCTTGTGTGGAGCACCAGATCGAGGGAGATTATCAGTGGTCTTGTATGTCTTCCATTTCCTAATAATTGCTCCCACAGTTGATTTCTTCAAACCAAGCTGCTTACCTATTGCAGATTCAGTCTTCCCAGCCTGGTGCAGGTCTACAATTTTGTTTCTGGTGTCCTTTGACAGCTCTTTGGTCTTGGCCATAGTGGAGTTTGGATTGTGACTGTTTGAGGTTGTGGACAGGTGTCTTTTATACTGATAACAAGTTCAAACAGGTGCCATTAATACAGGTAACGAGTGGAGGACAGAGGAGCCTCTTAAAGAATAAGTTACAGGTCTGTGAGAGCCAGAAATCTTGCTTGTTTGTAGGTGACCAAATACTTATTTTCCACAATAATTTGCAAATAAATTCATAAAAAAATCCTACAATGTGATTTTCTGGAGAAAACAAATCTCAATTTGTCTGTCATAGTTGACGTGTACCTATGATGAAAATTACAGGCCTCTCTCATCTTTTTAAGTGGGAGAACTTGCACAATTGGTGGCTGACTAAATACTTTCCCCCCCCCCCCACTGTAATTGGAACAGCAATTTGAATTTTGTAAAATCACATTATGAAAAGTGTAGTAACACTATGTGAAGGCTACCTACATAAGTACTTTTACATACGTAACACATTCATAAGCAGTACACACAGTGCATTCGGAAAGGCACACACCTGTCTAGATAAGGTCCCACAGTTGACAGTGCATGTGTAGTGTCTAAACAGTTTAGGACTTTGTTGATGTTTGCAAATGGTGTGTTAGAGGAAGTCTGTTAGGTGGCCTCCTGGGATTGGTTTATGGGAAAAACACCCATATTATGTTACATAGGGCATAGGATATAAATACCACGGTTAAAACAAAGGAGGGGAGAACAACATATTATGAGATTGGGCCGTTGTTCTCCAGATGTCTGCAGAAGTCTAAATTGGCGCTGAGATCTTCACTATAATAAAACTATTATAATCGAGGACAGTGTCCGCGGATTCCTTGTTCTCACAGCATAATTGGCATCATTATTTAGTTACTACACATGTCAGAGC